ACTTCCTTCTGGGCAGAGGCAGGGAGCTGTGTGCTGCTCTGCCCTCCCACGCCATGCCCCAGGGGACCTGGCTTCTTCTGCCCCTCCTGTGCCTGTTTGGGTCCATCTGCCGAATTCTGTGGTTCACCATTAGGAAACCCCCCTCCCCCAAAGAAGTGGCTGTGTTCAGAACACAGCAGGAAAAAGAAGGCTGCATAGGGCTCCCTCCCTCCAACTCCAAGAGTGAAAGGCTCCCATGCAGCCTGACTTCAGATGTGTCAGGGCCCTAACCATCTACAGAAGAAAGTTCAAACAAAGTCTGCACAAGCCAGCACCTCCACTGACCTCACCAGCTGGATGGACATCAGCCCAGGCTACAGCCACCCGGCCCTCCTGCCGCTGGCCTGCACCTGCATCCTCACCCAGCACGCGGACAGCCCCTTGGAGACTGTTTTAGGAGTCTCTCTCCCCCTCTTCACAAAGAGGAGATCCTTGTCACAGCAGCATCTTGGAGAAGTCCACGAGGGGAGAAATGAAGCCTCCAGCCAGCAGCCCCGGGAGGGAGCCTGGATCCTCCATCACTGGGTGCCTTCGGAACACAGCTCCCATTAGCCAGAAGCCCTGGCTGAGTTGCTCCCAGATTCCCGACTCTCACACACCATGTCGCTGTTTAAGTGATAAGTGCTGGGTAATTGGTCACACGCTGGAGGGCTAACGCACCCAGCCTGTGCCCTTCCCTTCCTGCTGGGTCTTGGCTCTGATTCTCCCTCCTCCTGGAAGCCAGCCCTGGACCCCTGTCCAGGACACCTAAGCTCAGCCTCTCAGTGCCCTCTCCACCTTTTCCGGCAACAGTGCCCGCAGTCCACTGTAGGAACCGCTCCTCATCTGTGTGCACAGGACSGGGCTGGCTCCTCCCCAGGCTGTGGGGGCTGATGGTCAGCCTAGGCCTGGCCAGTCAGTATGCCCATTCCCCTGAGGCCACCATATAGGGCTGTGTGACCTCGGCCAGACCCTTGACAGTCAGAGTAGGAGCCTTTGCAGGAAGAACTGGGAAAAATAAAATCTGTCTGTGGAGGTTTCTGGGTAGAAAAACACGTCAGCCTGGAGCTACATTCTGCCAGCATGGGTAAAAGCCCACCTCCAGATGTAGCTGGAAGAAAAAAGATGAGCCCGGGAGAGACAGATTCCTGAGTGATGGTTGAAGGACCTGGATTCAGCTATGCCTGAAACCCACATCTACTCCACTCCTCTGCTTTCCTTTTATGGAAAGTGTGTATTGATTCAAGGTGATATCTGTCACCTTCAGCTGAGAAAGTTCAGACCAATTCATCCCCATTGCTGGAATCAGGGACCTAATTCTAGGGACCCCAGTCTTCTATGCTTCCCAAGAGACTGAACTTCCCACATGAAACTGCAACAGACATTGGTAACCCTGCTGTTGGTTTTTGCTTCAGAGGTCACTCACCTCCTCCCCGAGCTCTTGAACTCAGAGCAAGGCCAGTTTCCTTCCACAGCACCTGCCCCCGAGCTGTGCCCAGTGAATAATTGTAGTCATTGTGGTGAACWCGAGCGTCTCCTGCTTGATCGGAGACCTTAACAGAGTGAGAAGTCACACATTCAGAGACCTGATTGCTACAGACCTAAGTCACCCTCGAGTCCTCTCTGAGACAACAAAGGATTATTATTTTTGATCTCTCTTCATCAGGACCATGGCTGAGCCAGCCCCACCCATGAACCACAAAGCAGTCTCCTACCACAGAAAAACCAATCTGGCCCAGGTATTCCCCTGCCGAAGACAACCTTCAGTGATATTTGGGTGGAAAGGAGTGAGCCTGTGGATTCAGGAAACTCTGCATTGTAGGACATTCTTTTATTTTTTGATTGGTTCATTCAGCAAGCGTTTAATTGGCACCTACTCTGCGCCAGGCATGGACGCATACACCACATCCTCCTGACCGGCATTCCAGGCACCGTACTGGCTATGTCTGGCTGCACTGCCARCCACTCCAAGCTTAGGGGCTTAAAACAGCAAACAGGAACCCAGGCCCGGCTGAGCTGGACGCCTCCTCTGGGTCAGAACGTCTCAGAGGCTGCAGTCAGGCATGCTGTCCACCGGCCACCCCGGGGCCCACTGGGGTTCAGGGATCGTCTCTAGGCTCATTTGAAGGTAGCTGTCGGGGCTTGGAAGATCCACCGTGGGCTCACTCGGGTGGCTTCCCCAAGACAACGCTCTGCTCCTGGGCCACTGATCCTGGAGACAGTGAGGGACAGTGTCCTGGACAGAGGTCACAGCCTTGCAACCTCCTTCTGGAAGCAGCCTGCCCATGCCCCTGCCATATTCTGCTCATTAGAAGCCAGTCAGTAAGTCCAGCCTCCACTCCCAGGGAGGAGTCCTGCTAGGGTACAAATGCCAGGAGGTGGAGTCACCGGGCGCCTCAGAGGCCACCTGCTGCAGAGAGCATTATCCTCTTCATTTCTCGCCCAGATGCTCGGTGGTTGGCAACCTATCTGCTCACCAGCTCCAGAGTTTCCTGACTCTAAGTCCCCAAGCCAGTTGGGGGTGAGATAAAGGAAGGTAGGAAGAAAATGCCAGTAGAAAGAAATGTGACCAGTGACCCACAACCTAGTGGCTTGACATGAGCATTTCTCTTGTCATTCCATGGATCTGGAGCCCAGAGCAGCTGGCTGGGTGGTTGTGACTCAGGGTTCCCAGGAGGCTGTGGCTAAGCTGTGGGCCCTATCACCCACGAGGCCCCTGGCAGGGTCCAGGAGCCTCGCCACGTAGACCCCCGTGACAGCCAAGCTCAGGCATGCTCAGGACAGGGCGTTGGGCTGCCCCAGAACGAAGAAGCCAAAGAGCTCCACAGGAGGCTCAGTGTCTTTTGAGACCTAGAAGTCATACCCTGTCACCTCTGCAGCATCCTGCAGGTTGGTTCACAGGTCAGCCCTCTTCATTGTAGGAAGCGATGACACAAGGGCTTGGGAGTGACAGGATGAGGACACTGGATGCTCTGAGGACCTCTGGCCACCACAGGGTCCCACGGGATTGATAGTCCTGCAGCTCAGCTCTTATGAAGTTCACCCCCACCAAAAAAGATCCGCGTCCCTGCCTGCTTCCGTCACACACCACACACCGTTCCCTCCCGGCTCCACCTCCCGCCATCTCCGGGGAGCGTGGACCATCCGGGATTGACAGCTTGGTCTGCTTCTGGACCTCAAGGGTCCCTGCAGAGACCCTTGTGGGTGGGCCCCCTGGTGGCCCCTGTTCTGGGGGAAGACCTGCCCCTTCAACATGCATTGCTGTGTCCCCTCCACAACAGGCTCCGGTTGGACCCTGGGCTACGATGGCCAGCAAACAGACTCTGCCTCCCTCTGCAGCGTCCACTCAAGGTGGGGAGGTAGGTACTAACCAGTTAGTGACAATCTAATCACACATTGTGCCAAGTTCTCCCAAGGAAACCCTTGGCACACCATGGTTGTGTAACAGGGGACTGGCCTGTTTCACGCATAGTAATTGAGCAGTCAGGTAATTAACTGGGCTGGAAGGCTGTGAGCACTGGGTTTAGGCATGAGGGTCCAAACCCCGAAAGCAACAGGGGCTTAAACAGGGAGATTCTCACTTCTCTCTTGTGTAAAAGCCTGGGTAGGTATCTGAGGACAGGGAAGGCACCCAGCTTCTGTTGCCCTGTGACACCCAAGTACCTAGTCTGTGATCCACATTTGGAAAAGGGAGGACATGAGGTCAAATGTCACCTGCACAGAATGTCCCTCTACACAGGGCCAGCTGTCCTCTGCACAGAGCCACTGCTTAGGCACTTGTCCCATAGGTTGAGCTGCAAAGGCCCTCTCATCCCTCTGAGGACGGATTGAAGACAGTGACCCATCCGCTCCCACTGGTCACTTTAGGATAACGGATTAGAATGGTGCCCAGTTTCCTCCACGGTTACTTCAGAAAACCTAAGTACAACACTGTGCACTTTGGTTATTCTGGAGATTTAACCTCCGGCAGGAGTCCTGGGCAGTGAGTCCTGGGTGGTGGGCTCGTGGTAAACAGGGACATGGCGACTCACCTCCCTGTCTCCCTTCTGCAGCACTTTTCTTGTACCCTGCCTCCATGGCCTTGGTGTCCCTGACTGCCACCTAACAGCCCAGCTCTTGGGGCACCAGCCCCCACCTCCCAACTGGATTTTTCTCATGGTACCAACATCTGGAGGAAGGGACAGTGCCAGAAACCCGGGAGAGGTCAGAGGTCAGAAAGAGCTTCCATGGCCAGCCTGTGTCTGTCCCACTGCCATCCCCTCAGCCCCACAATCACTCTGCCCTTCTGTGACAATGTGCATTGCCACCTTAGGCCAAGCCACAGAGCTGACCGTCTGCCTCTGACAGCCCTGCAAGTCCTGGATGGCCTGGCACTCTGCAAATACCCGGTGGGGCAATAAGAAGCTGAAGACGATCTGCTAGCTTCAGGAGGAGCCCGCACCAGGTGCAGGCACCCTGCTGAGCCAGCCTCCCAAATGTTCTCAAGATCCCCAAGAAACCCCATCTCCCGGTGAACAGGTGTCATCAGCTGCTTTGTGCAGATGTGGAAGGGGAGATCAGAGACAGTGATTTTCCCAGAGAGGCACAGCAGGGTAGGCAGTGGGTCCACTTTACCCATCTCAGACCTCCTGCCTTCCCCTAATACCAGGCCCTCACTTGGAGCTGGGCACTTGCACGGACCAAACGGGGACCTTCCCATTTAATTCACAGCTCAAAGAAGTTGTTTTGCAAATGCAAAGATCAGGGCCCCGGACAGGCAAAGCCATTTGCCGCAGGCCACCCGGAGGAACGAGGAGGAAGACCCAGCGGAGGCTCAAAGGGACGGGTGCAGGATTCCCGGGGCTCCCCTCCGCTGGGGGCCTCGATTCCCGCCCCGCCTGCAGCCACGGCCAGGCTCACCGAGCGGAAGGGGCGGCGGCGGCGACGGYGGCCAATGGGCTGCGCGGAGCGTCACTTCCCGCGGCGGCAGCGGCGGCGGGGGCGGGGCGCAGGCGGGGGCGGGGCGGCCAGGAGGCGGCGGCACGGGCTGGACCCACGCGGCGCGCGGCCCGCCCGGCCTGCAGCGCTCCCTCCCCGGCGGCGGCGGCACGATGCCCTTTGACTTCAGGAGGTGAGTGGGGCGGCGCGGCCCCTGGGACCCCCCGGGACCCTCCGCGGCGCTCTGCAGCCGCGCACGTTCCCGCTCTGCGCGCCGAAGCAGCCCCCGCGCGGTGCACGCCTTGGCAGGCCCTGGGACCCCCGCCCTGCAGCGAGCCGGCCGGAGGCGCTGAGGCCCCGCGGGCAGCCCGCCGGCCCACCCTCCCGCCGGCCGCAGAGCCCCTTCCCCAGCCGCCCGCACCCCTTGCATTCCCTCCCCCAACCCCCAGATGGGAACCCGCGAGCATCCCCTCCTCCCCCTCCCGGCCTCCTTTAGTGGACCCCACCCTAGGTGACAGGTGGGGTCAGGGCACCTCGCGTGGGCCCCTGGGATCCGCAGCGGCTTGCAGCCTCAGCCAGCCCCGCAGCAGCGGGAGAGGGCTGGATTTCCAGAGCCCGAGGCACCCCCAGGCAGGGCAGATCAGGAGGCCTGTCCAGATGAAGGCCTGTTCCCACCCCCACCCCGTCCCCAGCCCAGTCCCCGTGCTCCGGGGCTGGGGGCACTACGGGAAGGGAAGGAGGCCTGGCAGGCTTGGAAAGGGCTCTGCAGAGGGGCCAGCAGGGTCTGGCCTTGGCTTTTTGCAGTCACAACAATGGGCCCTTTGTGGGGTCCAGCTGCCTCGCTGGCCCCTGTGGTGCTGGACCAGGCATTCTGGAAGTCTGCCCGCAACCGGGTCTCCACCACACGTTCCCTTGAGGTGTGGAGCTCCTGGAGATGCCCTTGGCCAAGGCCGGGAAAATAGCAGGGCTTTTTAGGAGGAGCTGGAGTAGCATCCTGGCCTGCTGCCCACACTGAGCAGCAGGGGTGTATTCCAAAAATCAGGGGCAAGGGCTCTAGGTTGGGACCTCCCCTCACTGCTCAGTCACCTGACCCCAGCAAGTGTCTGAACCCTCTCAGCTTCTGGTTTCACCACTTGCAAATTGGGTCTAAAAATAAGGTCCCCACCTGTGAGGCCTGGGTTCAGGAGAGGGCTGAACAGCTGCGCGGCTCACCGCTTTGAAGTAGGGCATTAGTGCATGAGGGGCATCTCTGTGCCAGCCTGTGCTGCCCACATCAGGAAGAGTCAAGCACAGGGGAAGTAGTACAGTGACAGTCCCCCGGAAGGGAAGGTCCTAGCCTGCTGTCAACCATGGCATGGGAGCATGCTGGGGTATAGATTTGGAGAGGACATCATCTTTGAACCTCTTGACCAGCTGACGTGGTTTTCCTGCTCAACATGGGCACCGAGGCCACCTGGCAAACATTTGCCAGCTTCCTGCTCCTTTGGGGCAGCCCTGAGGCTGGCACTGAGGTCCCCAATATAAATGCATGCAGACTCAGGGCACTTTGAACAAAGAACACCCCACTGGTGGAATTCAGGGCAGTCCTCATGCCGACAGATGGGGCCACTAGAGCCGTTTGCACACCCACTCCTAGTTTCAGTCACCTCCCTTGCTTGGACTGAGGAGATTCCTGCCCCCTCGTTTGTCAAATGATTTTGAGCTTGTTGGAGAAATCGCTTCCTCTGGTCACTTAATCCTTTCACTCTGCACCCCCATAGTACAGAGGAGGAAGTAGAGGCTGAGGGGCTTACCCTAGGCTTCCTGGGTGCTGCAGGGAAGCGTGGGCCTGGATCCTGGTTGGAAGTTTGGGGGGCAGGAAGGGTGAAATAAGGAAACCAAGTGAGCCAGTGCTAGCCTTTGGCCTTGGAGGCACTTGCTGTCACCACAATTGGTGTTTAAGGGGGACTGGTGCAGCCCTCTGGCAGCTGCCCAGAGCTCCGTGGGCATGCCTCTGGCCCTGAGCACCCTGGGGCCCACCACAGCATGGTTGAGGGTGGATTCCACACTTAGTGGCTGCACGTTGGAGGACGGGCCCTGTGCACCCAGCCGACCTGCGCTTTTTAAGACCTCTTAACCAAAGGGTTCAGGATTCGGGTGCTGAGGAAGGTCCCCTGTCCCCACGCACCTTCCTCCTATTCAGTGTTTGCTTATCAAGTATTCACTGAGTGCCTGCACCGTGCTCAGCCCTCTGCCACGTGCCCCACTGTGGGGAGGCCGGTGGCAGGTGGCCCAGCCTGCTCAGTGGCCCCAGAGGAGGAGGGAGGAGGGCTAATGGGGCCTGAGGACTGGAGGGGCCAGCCAGTGTGCACGGACCATCCAGCATTGCACAGGCAGACTTGAGGCCCATCCCGGTGCAACCTGGGAGAGGGGGCTAATCTTCACTTTAGATAAAGGAGGGGGAGACTCCTTGGGTGGGAGGTCTTTGTCCTGGGCAGCGGGAGAGGCAGTGACTGGGCCTTGACATGGGCTTCAGAGCCTTAGCTGGGGAGAAGAGGAGACCCGGAGGCTCCCACCGCCCAGTTGGAGGAGGGGCAGAGGGGCGTGCTCTGCCATGACTCCCCAGCCCCAGTTCAAGGCCAGGGGCAAACTGGCTTCCTGGTGCACTTCCTGGTGCTCTTCCTGTAGCAGGAGAAGAAACAGAAACCTTGAGCTTGCCACGCTCCTCTCTCCTGCCCTTAGGACCTTGTGCACCTTACRGAGCTCCAGGAAAAGGACAGGGTCCAGGCCAGACCCCTGGGAAGTCCAGCACAAGCAGGGTGCGGCCGGAGGTTCCAGCTGCTGCAATTATTCTTCTTGTGGTTTCATTTTAACACCTTTCACCCAGCACCCCGTCATTTGCTTAATTATGAGGCTTATTCTTCTCCTTCCCGTTACTCTGTGGGTACCCTAGGGCAAGGATTTGTATCTGCTTTATTCAGGCCATGTCCAGCACCCAGGGCGGTGCTTGGGCCAAGCCACTGTGATTGCTGCAGCTTCTTGCTGGGCACTGGGCCGTTGGCARCTAGCGATGAAAAGCAAGTCTGCGTCCTTCTTCCTTCCTCCCCTAGGGATGGAACCCAGTGCCTGCCCCTCGCCCCCAGACCCCAGCCCCTTCCCTTTCAGCATTGTTTTTGGGTGAGGGAGGGGGTGGGCCCAAAGGAGGGACCCTGGACCTGAGGTGGTGTCTTGTGTTTGCTTTGCCTCTGCCCACGGGTCCACTGATAGCTGGGCACGTACTTGTGGAACTGGCCTTGTGACCTAGATCCGTGGGTGTTGTCCCTAGTTCCGGCTGGCCCGGGACCAGAGGCACCTGCCAGCTCTGCTGCTGAGCCTGGGAGGTGGGGGGAGAGAACAGCACGTGGCGTCCCCATGCCCCAAGCCAGTGGAGCCTGAACCCTCTCTCAGGAAGGAGGCGCAGGTGGCTGACGCCCCCACAAAGCCCAAGTTCAAACCCCAAGACCTGGGGCCTGCTGCTTCCCTACCTGACCCGTGCCTTGCCCTGGGACAATGGACTTACCTCTTGGAGCTTCATTTCTCTCCTTCAAGGAGATGAGAGTTGTAGGGAAAAGTGGGACACCCCTGCACTGTAGGGACAGCCACATAATTTGTGGGGCCTAGTGCTGTTCCTCTGGAAAAATATTAGGAATTTTAAGATGGTGGCCGCAGAGCATTGAGCCAAGTGTGCAGCAAGCATGGGACCCTGTGTGACAACAGGGGCCACAGCCTGTGGTGCTGGCCCTGTGCGGTCCCTTGGGTCACTTCTCACTCTGGCCTTCCAAGTGGTCTCTGCCCTCTGGGAGACCCCAGACCTCTTCAGGACCCAGTGGGAGCTCTCCAAGGTGGAGCAATACTTTCCTATCCTGGTGCTGGCCCTCGGGTCTGGACCCCATGCACCCCGCAGCCTGTGTGCTAGGCCCTGCAGACCGTGGCTGCCCCTGCGCCTGCGCCCTGCTGAGCCTCAGCCCCCACGGGGACTGTGAGCACAGTTAACCCTGAGCAGAGTGACGGCAGGGAGGCCTGCATGCCCAGTGAGCCTCGTCCCAGCGGAGCTCCYGGGAGCGACCACAGCACACGCTTCACAGCCATGGAGGCCTGCCTAAAACCCAGAGCCCAGGGAACGCGGGAGCCCGCGTGTTGTGTTTATTGAGCACTTACTAGCTCAGGACGGCTGGAAGAAGCTGGCAGGGGTCCACTCACTTTGACCCCGGCAGCTCTCCAAGGCAGCACTGCACTGTTCCTCGACACACAGGGCCTGCTGAGGTGGCAGAGGGCAGGAGCAGGGCCCATCAGCCAGCGGTGGCCCATGGCCGCCTTATAGGCTTCTTTTCCATTCACTAAATTGAGAGCGATCCGGAGCCCCTTCTAACTGGATTCCTTGGCTTCCTCTTGGCTGACCCCGTCCAGCAGGGCTCCTCACAAAGCTTAGAGCTTTCAGTCTTTTCCTTGTTTTTCTTTCTATTTTTAAAACTGGTTTCATGCAGTCTGACCCCTGATTCTGGAATCAGCGTTTTCAAAAGCCCTCACACCAGCTGATGGCGTCACTCTTGAAGGCCAGGTCTGCGTGCTGTCCACGGGGCTATGTCCACCTGCCCCTCTGGGCTTGGCGTGTAGGGGAGTCGCTCCCCCCAGGCCTTTGGATCCCCGGCTGTGATCTCCTGGTGGCTGTGGCCTTGCATTCCCCGCCTGAGTTCCTTTCTGACCCCCCCCCCCCCACCGCAGTTGCTGGGCGGTTTCTATAGACCCAGGAGAGCCAGGCAGGGCATAGGAGGGCCCTGGGATGAGGCTGAGCTGGTACCTCTAAATGGTGCGCTTGAACCCCACTGCCATCGGGATCGTTTGAGAAGATGTAAAAATCCCCAAACTCAAGCTGTACCCCAGGCCCAGTGGTCCGGACCCCAGGGTGGGGCCTGGGTACTTTTGAAAGCCCCTTTGTGATTCCAGTGCTCTGTGTTGGGAGAACCCCTAGCCAGCAGGGCAGAGGCCACCAGTAAAGTGATGGGCAGAGGGTCTTTTCTGTTAACATCCTCTATCTTCCAAGAGGTCCCAGGCCAACAGCTCCAGCATCGCCCGGGAGCTCTGGAACCTGCATAATCTCAGCGCCCACCTGCATCAGAAGCGCATGTTAGCACAAGTCCTGGCTCTGGGAGACGGTGACACGCGGAGTCCTGCCTGTGCACACCACTGTCAGGCTGCCTCACTCAGGGCTCCCAGGCATCCTGCACTGAGGACCCACCGTCTCTTGGTTCAGCCCAGTTTTGCCTGATGAGTCCTCGGAGGCGCCCTGCTGTTGCTAGAATGCCTAGAACCCAGTTTGGGAAACCCAGCCCTAATTGTCCTTTAGGAGTGGTAATTAGCCTAATTGTCTGTTGCAGCTTTAACATTTAGGCCTATTAACCTAATTACCTTGGCTGTGTGAGGGCAGAAACCTCCCACGCTCCACATAAAAAAATCCTGGCCCAAGGGAGAGGCAGGAGGGACTCCTCCCACACTCCGTAGGAGCTCCGTAGGATGCTCCTCTGTGCCCTCTGAGCAGGCACGCTGAGTCCTGTTCATACCCAGGGAAATCAGCCCTCAGAAACTCTGGGTGTCAGCTGTATGCTCGCCTGACCCCGGCACCCGGGAGGCTGCGGTAGGAGGATCACCCAAGCCAGGAGGTCAAGACGAGCCCGGGTGACATAGTGAGACCCCAGCTCAGAAAGTAAAAGGAAAAAGAAATGCTGGGTCTCCTGGCTGGTGCAGCAAGGGGCCCCCTGGGGACCTGGCACACCTGACAGTGCCATCTCTGGTCCTTGTCACCAGCCCCCTCCTGGAGCCTGCCCTGCTCAGGAAGCGAGATGCATTTGAGCTGGACCGAGTCCCCTGTGTTCCAGTGGTGGGCCCCCTGGACGAAGGACGGCTGCAGTTAGGGTCGCAGCTCATCCATGTGCCCGGACACGTGGCTCCTGGCTTCCCAGCGGCCCCTGCAACACGAGCTCCCTTCCTCGTGCTCTGGTCTGGGTGGCAGGGTCCCTGGAGGAGGGGGCAGCGCTACCTTGTTGCTCCTGCCTGTGGTTCTTGAGCTTATGAGCCCTGTGCTGAGCGTCCCGCTGGGCGCCTCGCTGGACTGAAGTCACGCTGGCCTTTTGCGTGACATGAGACTGTTAGGACTTTATTTTATTTTTGCTTAATTTTTTAAGCTAGCATATAATAAATTTGGCTCTTTTTTTGGTGCACACTTTGAAATGTTAGACATGTTTATCATGTAATCACCAGCTGTAGCCGGTACAAACCAGCCCTGGGCCCCCAGGCCCCTCAGGCCTCCTCTCCAGTCACACTGTGTTAATTCAGTTTTTGAAAGTGCAGCCAGAACACTTGAGGTCTGCCGTCTTAACAGACTCCAGTGCACGATGCATGGGGTCGATCACAGGTAGTGCCACCCCTCAGATCTCTAGGGATATGCTTGCTCCACAGGCCTGAAACCTTTATCTGTGGAACATCTCCCAGCGTCCCTCTCCCCGGCCCCTGTGACCTCATTTCTTTAGTCTGCCTGTTTTGGAAGCCTCATGTCTCAGAATCAGATAGTATTTGGCCTTCTGTGCCTGACACATTTCACTTAGTATGCTCCTGGTTCATCTGTCTCACTGCAAACGACAGGATTCCCTTCCTTTTTCCAGGCCAAGTAGTACTCCAGCACATGTGTATGCCTGCATTCACTTGTTGAGGTTGATTCCTCATCTTTCTCCGTCGGTGGGCTGCAGTGAGCATGGGGTGCGACGTCTCTTTGAGATCCTGATTTCAGTCCTTTGGAGAGGGCCCTGTCATGGGGTTGCTGAATCCTGTGGTAGTCCACTTGTGGGTTTTCCAGTGGCCTCCAAAGTGTCCTCCGCGGTGGCTGCTCTGTGTTCCCCTCCCACCAGCAGAGCGTCAGGGAGCCCTTTTCCCACATCCCCCCCAACACTGGTCATGCTTCCTGGTACAGCTGACCCAGCCCGCGTGGTCTGAGTCCCAGGGACTGGCATTTATTTCCCTGGCCATGAGCAATGTTGAGCATCTGATAGACCGGTGGCCGCTCGTCTCTGAAGACATGTCTGTCCCTGTCCTCTGGGTTTCTCATGGGCTCCTGTGTTCTCTTGCTGTTGACCTGAAGGACCCCTCGTGTATTTTGGACGTGAGCCCCTGTTGGACGTGCGGCTTGCAGGTGTCTGCTCTCTCTGCGGGCTGCCCGCTCACTCCTGCGGCTTTAGTTTTAAAGTAGGAAGCCAGTCCAGGGCTGGGAACGGCCAGGCCACCACCGGCTGGCAGAGCGGCTGGAGCCCCAGGGGCTGGTGGCTCCCCTCAGTGCCTCCTGCCTGGCTGCTGCCCTGACCGGCCAGTTGCTGGCTGCCACTGGCTCTCATGCCGGAAGGCACAGAATTTAGCCACAGTCTCCCTGGAGAACTTGGGGGCCCGGTGCTGCCCAGCCTGGTTTGATGTTTCCTGGGTCCAGGTGACACTCAAAGAGTGTGCAGAGAGAGCCTCCAGATCTTCAGAGGGACGTGCTGCATGGTGGTCCACCCTGTCCACCTTCCAGAAGGTTCCCCACTGTAAATCCCGCAACTGGGAATACGGCCAGGCCGCCCTGGGAACGGCCCTCGGGGGCTGGCCTGATGGGTCTCTGAATCTGCGTTCCTGCCTCGCTGTTCTCCGCCCGGGGGCCCTGGACGAGAGAGTGTCCACAAGCCTTGGCTTGCCTTACCTGCAAATTGGGGTGTTCATACTGTCCCCGCAGGGCTTTGGGGAGGATGGGACCAGCTCCTGTGGCCTGTGAGATGCGCTGCCTGGAAGGAGGAGCGCGGCCCCCCTGTCTTTCCTGCAGCACAAGTCCATGGTCCTCGCAGCGCCCCTGACCCCCAGCCGCCAGTCATCTGGAGACGGCTCTGGGAAAGCCTGGCCCCTGGTTTGCAGAGAAGCTCGAGTGAACACACCTCATGGTTAGGCCTGAAGCTGGACTCTGCTTCCTCGGTGGCACCCACAGGGACACAGATGCCAGACCTCAGTGAGTGGTCGGAGCAGGCGCAGGCCCCGGCCAGCGGCGGCGATGCCCCAGCAGGAAGCGGGGCCCCGTGTGGCCCTGATGAAGACCTCATGATGTGTGTGGAGGTGCTTGGCCCCGACTCTGGTTTTATTTCTGTCCAGCACCACAGTCACCAGCCTTTCCAAGGATCGTTGATGGCTGCGGTGTGCAGGCCCCGAGTGTGTGGTGCGTGAACAGCTGTGCTCGCTGGGCGGATGGACAGACCTCTGGGCCGAGCCCTGGACTCTGGTGGGCGCAGACCTGCAGCAGGACAGAGGCAGCCTCGGAGCCCCGTCCCACCCTGGGCCAGGCCTGGCCCAAGGGGATGACTCCTCCAGGCCCGTCTGCTGGGATGGCACCGCTGCCTTTACCATTGCTCCTGCCTCCCTGGGCAGGCCAAGAGCTGGTGGAAGTCCCTCCTGAGGGACACGCCCTTCTGCAGGACCTGTCATACCTCCTGCTCCCAGGGTGTCCCCATCAGGAATCTCCCGCTGAGGCGCTGGTAACACCGGGGGTACCCACGTAGCCAGCTGTTACCAAGGGCCAGGCTTGGACTCCTTCGCGCACCCTCGAGGCAGGATGCCGGGGTACAGAGGGGACAGGACTTGGCAGAGTCACGCAAACAGGTGACACAGCTTTGACTGGCACGCTGTGACATCAGAGCTGGCCTTCCTGACCACGGCTTCAGCCCCTGGGGGTAGGTTAACACTGGCATTTTCTTGGGGATACCCCACGGACACCGACGTCATCCCGTCCGCCTGGTTGTGTTTGTCATTGTTGCCATGGGAGCCTGGGGCCTCTGGGTAATGGGAGGAGGCCGCCGGTGGCCATTTCCCATTGCGCAGCTGCCAGGCAGGAAGTTCCCGGGAGCCCAAGGAGCCTCTGTGGTTAGTGCCACCGCCTCCTGCGAAGGAAGCCCCGGCCGGTCCCCAGAGCCCCAGCTGCAGGCCAGGCGTGGGCTGGGTGAGGGTCTGCTGCCCCCTGACCGTGTTCACTGAAACTCTGCTGCCAGGCTAGCCTGGACACTGGGGTCAGCACCGACCAAGCAGGGCCTGCCCCCGCCTCGCAGGCCTGGTGCATCTCATTTTTCCAAACTAAGGGAACTTTTAATTCAGAAATGATTTTAAGTGTATGAAAAGTTGTGTTGCCACGTACCCCGTGTCCTGTGTCCCCACGGTCGGTCCATGCCTCACGTTGCCGTGACGTGTTCATCCAGCTGAGAAGCTGACCTGCGGCTCCTGTTCTCCCTCCTCTCCCTGTAAACTGACCCTCCTGGAGGGAAGGAGACCACACAGTCCCCGTGTGACGTCACATGACTTAACATGAGCAGGACCCAGGGCAGGGGCAGCTCGGCTGCCTCTGGGCCTCGAAAACTTATGGCAATGTGGGGTTGAGCTTGCGGGGCACAAGGCAGTCTGTGACCAAGACACAGACCTGCGGGATAGGAGGTCTGCGGTCCTTCCATTGCACCCTGCACCTTTTGTAAGCAGAGCCGATGACAAGGGCCCAGCACCCACATCACAAGGGAAACCTGGAAAGGAATACTTCACCCAGCACTGTAGTGTTTTAGAAGTGGAGACTCCAGATTCCAAGTCTTTTTTTTTAAAAAAAAAAAATTGTATCGTGTATATTTAAGATGTACAGCATGATGTTTTTAAGACACACACATAGTAAAATGGTTATTGTAGTGAAACATCATCTCACACAGTTACTAGATTAGTCTGTTTTCCAGTGCTGTTACAAAGCATCTGAGCTGGGTAACTTATAAATAAAAGAGGTTTATTTAGCTCACAATTTCCAGGCTGAGAGTTCAGGTGGCATTGCGCTGGCTCTGTGTGAGTGCCCCTGGCTGCCTCACTTTGTGGCCAATGGCATCTTGTGCAAGAGGCAGAGATCAAACAGGGAAAACAAACAACATGGAGAGATCGGTGGATGGGAGGGGCTTTTATAACAACCCTCCCCCGGGAACTACCTTAACCTCTCTCGAGAGTGACACTGGTAGTGACCTCCTTCCTGGCCACACCTGTTAAGGGTTCCAGCACTTCGAGTTGCCAAAGCTGGGACCCAGCTTCCCTCACATGAACCTTGGGGACCAGCCCCCTGCAGGTCCCAATCAGCTCATACCTCGCTCCTCGGGGGCAAGAGCCCCTGTGAGGGACACGTGGCATGGGCCCTGAACACGCACACGCCACCACCCGTGGTCCCTCGTCTCCAGTGGGTCCACTTGGATATCTGTGTCCTTTGACCTCCTTCTGCCTCTTTCCTGTTTCCTCCTGCACCTGATCCTGGGGACCATTTTTACTCCCTGTGTCTTTGACCTTTTGAGTAGAAAACAGAGTGCCAGGGAGAGGTCACAGTGCAAAGTTGTCCTTTGGGTGTCTAGCCTTCCCCCCAGCACGTGTCCTCTGGGCCCATGGCTTGTGGCACTGTCTCTTTGTGTCTGCACTTGCTTCCGTGTCCACTTGGCCCTTGGTGGACACTCACGGAGTTTGCATAACTTGGCACCTTTGCCAGGTGTGGCTTTGTGTCCTCTGAGTGTGTGCCCAGAGAGATGCCCGCAGGGTGCTGGGCACCCCCTGCTGCTTTCCCCACCGTGGGCCCGCCTGAGCCCCATGGTGTGCAGGGTCCCCTCTCCACTTCCTCACCAGCACTTGCTCTCTGTCGTCTGGACAGCAGGCGTGAGGTGGTGGCCGCCTGCATTTCCCTGGTGTCTGATGGCACCTTTCCACAGACCTGCTGGCCATTAAAGTGCCTGTTCAAGCCCTGCCCAGTTTTGACGGGATGACATTTTCTTGCTCCCGTGTGGTAAATCTGACCCTCCCCAGTGAGCCCTGGGGTCTCCCAGCCACAGCCTTTCCGTTCCTTTGATGCCATCTGCTTGGTGACATCCAAGGAATCATTGCCAAAGCCCGTGTCCAGGCCTTCCCCGATTTCCTCTAGCAGTTTTGTGCTTTGGGGTTTTACGTGTTCTTATTTATTCAAGTTGATTTTTGCATATGGTATAAGATAAGGGGCCAGTTCCACTCTTTTGAACGAAGATGCTCAGCTTTCCCAGCCTGATTGGTTGAGGAGCCTGCTCCCCTGTGTCCTCTTGGTGCCTGGTCGGGTTAGCGGCCCTGTATCTGGAGGCTTGGTCCTGCTGCACGGTCTGCCTGCTGGTTTTCCCTGCCAGGGCCATGCTCTTTCCTGACTGTGGCTCTGTAATGTGACCCTAAGTCAGGAAGCTGGTGTCTTCGACGTCCCTCTTCTCTACTGCTTTGGCTCTCCGTACAGGCCTTAGGGGCAGTGGCATGGGACTCCTGGGCGGGGTCGCACCGAGTCTGCTCGCTGACCGTCGGCTGCTTCCGTCGGGTGCAGGCCAGCAGTCTCTTTGTGTCCTTTTCAGTCTCTGTCATGTCCCGTAGCTCTCAGGCGTCTGCCTCCCTGGACAAACTGTTCAGTTTATCCCTGAGCTGTCCTGGTGTGGCTCTCACGCGCGGGGCTGCTTCTTGGTCTCAGGGAGGCCGTGGTCTGTGGTGGACACGCGGGTCGTGTGTGGCTTCTAGACCGTGTGACATCCGGGCCTTGCTGCGTCGGGAATCTTGCTGCCCCTTCCTGGAGTGGGCACCTCCTGTTTCTTTTCTTTTTTTTTTTTTTAAAGAGAGAGTGAGAGAGGAGAGAGAGAGAATTTTTAATATTTATTTTTTAGTTCTCGGCGGACACAACATCTTTGTTGGTATGTGGTGCTGAGGATCGAACCCGGGTCGCACGCATGCCGGGCGAGCGCACTACCGCTTGAGCCACATCCCCAGCCCCACTCCTGTTTCTTTTCCTTGTCTAGTTGCTCTGGCCAGTGCCTCTGGTGCTCCGTGGTGGAGGTAGAGGGACCAGACGTACCCTCCTCGCCCAGTGCCAGACCTTAGCAGAGAAGCTTTGGCTTCGCCCTGGTCACGTTGGCTGTGGGATTTTCTTTCCTCCTGCTCCTGGTGTGTGGCACGAGACCTGACCTGTGGGCATCTTCACCTGTGCTTCTGGAAGGGGGAATGGGGGTGAGCGGCAGGCATTGGGCGCTTGGCGGGCAGGGACGGTAGACGAGAAAGCACTGTGCATCTCTGGGTCTCCAGAGGAGCGCTAGCTGCCGTCCCCACGTCAGTGCATTCCGTTCTCACAGGTGGGCCACCTGGGGGCTTCTGCCCACTCCACAGGGGCGAGCGCCAAGGTGGAGTGGGCTGTCCTAGCGTTGGCAGGTTAACATCGGGATATATGGAGGGGCCCGCGGTGGGTGAGGCCGCCCTGGGTGGGGTCAGGGGAACCAGGCTCAGAAGGCTGGAGCACCTGCCTGGGTGTCAGGGGGACTTGCAGCTCGGCTTCTGCCGCAGAGCTGGGGTGTGTGTCAAGCTAAGTGAGCTGAGTCAAGGGCCATGAGAAGGTCCCCTGCTCTGTCTGGCCAGGTCCCTGGGCCATGTAGGCACGTCACCCCAGGTGGCCCTCACTCGCCTCACCCACTGGAGCACATCAAATTGGCCGCTGGGACTCGCCTCGTTCCGTGGCTGCTGCTTGGTGCTGACCTGGGGCAACTGGGCAGGAGTCCCTGGGAAAGAGGATGGAGGCCTCTGTAGTCTGTATCTCTCTGGAGTGGGAAGACTGTCTGGCAGTGATACTGCAAGGATCAGACCTAATAGAGAAGAGGTCAGTAGGAGCCCAGGCTCCCGAGGCCGACTCCCTACCTGAGAGTGCCCCACTTATCCGATCTGTGACCTTGGGCAAGTGACCACCTGGCCTGCCCCCTCCCCAGGCAGACTTGCCCAAGGTCTTTTTCCCCTTTAGCGCTGAGAGCAAGCCATAGACCTGTGGGTGCCGGGCCACCCAGCCGAGGAGGAGCAGGAGCTGCTCCTGTGTCTGCAGACCCTACTGGGCCTGGTGGGATCGGAGCCGGACAGGACGGCTCCAGGCGCTGGGCATGTTGCCACCGCTCCACAGGAGGGTAGGTCATGTCTTGGTGCCTCCACTTTGAGCCCAGTGGTTAAAGCCCAGCCAGGCCACCAACCCATGGGAAGGGTCTGGAGGTGGTGTCCAGTCTTCCGGAGCAGGCGTAGTCCGCCTGGTGGCCTCTGGCCATTGACCAGTGCCCAGGACTTGGTTTTGCTGGCTGGTGTCCAGGAGGCCTCTTGGCCTCTAAACCAGGCCACTGCTCCTCAGGTCCTCTTCTGGGCTTCTTGCTGGCAGTGGAACTGGGAACCTGGGCAGGGAGGTCTCCCTTTGGGAGGAGCTAGTCTTTGGGAAATAGTAGGGACCAGCCACCAAGAGCTGGGTCTCCAGAGGCCCCCACCAGAGCAGAGACTGGCTCTGCTGTGTTCGTTGTGGGATCCCCAGGGCCTAGGACAGCGCCAGGCACCCTGAAGGCACCACATAGCAAGTGACTGGAGCTCCCTCCCTGGGTAGGATGAGCTCTGCTCCTGCAGGCTCCCAATGCCATGGCACCTTAGCAGGAATGGGGACCTTCCCTGGGGTCAGTAGGGGGTCACCCAGGTGACACAGGCACCCAGCCCCGGTCAGTTCTCAGCACAGGGCTGGGGTGGCTGGGTATTTCCATGTTGAGACTCGACAGGGTCGTCCAAGGACAGCTGGAGAGGCCACGCGGGAGCTGGGACTTTGGGGCAGCATTCAGTGGACACTGACTCACGGCCGCTGGTCCACGCAGTTTAAGAGGCACTGACCCCGCGGGTGCAGCCCGTCTTCTCATCTCTGAAGCAGGGGCTTCGCAGGCTGYGGGGGTCACTCTGCCCCAGTGTGGGGACGAAATACTGACGCCTGGGGACTCGGTGGGCACTCAGCCACCAGGGCTCTGGGCTCCCACGATGGGCCCCTTCAGTGAGCTGCCTGGGCTGTCGGGCAGGACAGGTGTGTTGGCACCCTGTGGGTCTTTGCATCGCCGCCTGGTGGCATTTCCCAGAACTCTAGGACACACCATGGGGTGGGGATGGCGACACCAGTTTCCACGAGGGCTGTGGTGGGGGAGGGGAGCGTGCCCACCCGCCTCCAGCCGCTCTGCGCCTGGAGAGCCCTGTGCCCTTTGTGTCTCTGTAGCCCGTGACTCTCCTGGCAGCTCAGCAGGGCCACCGACCCTGCACCCAGCGCTGCGGCTGAGTGGCCTCCTTGCTGGTGGGCACCCATGAGCGTGTTTGCTCACTGAGACACGTAACATTTACTGCTGGGCCCTGCACCGGGGATGGAGTGGCCGTGATGGATCTGGCGTCCCCTCTGTGGGGCTGACAGGGCAAGGGGAACAAGGACAGGCGTCTGAGGGAGAGTTTTCTGAGCAGAGGGGCCCTGAGAGCTCTGGGGACGGCAGGGGCATCTGGACAGGGGTGAAGAAGATTCCCCCGCGACCCTGTCCCATGCTTTYACCTTGAGTGATTGATTGGTTCAGAGCCAGGGCGAGGGGTCAGGGCAGTCCAGAGGCCAAAGCAGGACTGAACCGGTGTGGGTGAGGCGGAAGGACACCTGGGGGAGGGGCGCTCTAGGGGTGAGTTGTGGGGGTCAGTGAGAGTGGGAGGGGGGAAGAYGAGGGGTGCTGTGAGCAGGTGAGGGGTCTCCCTGTGCGGCACTCGGCCACGGAGAGGCAGGCAGGTTCTTGAGCAGATGTGGTGCTTCAGAAAACCAGGGGGATCAAGTGAGGGAACCCCTAGGGCGCTGTGAAGGGGAAGCAGGAGCCCACGGGGGGATTGGTCCGCTCCTCACACATGGCGGGCGTAGCTCCCCACTCGGGAGGCCTGCTCATTATGCAGACCCTTGTGGAGCAGGACCGGACTAGGGGCCCATCTCGGGGGACTCCACCTTGCCTCTGTCGCCCCTGCCTCCATGTCCCCTTTATACACTGGAGCAGAGTGACCTCCCAGGGTCCCGTGGTGTACAGTTAAATCCTGCACAGGATGTGCCTGAAGCAAGTTCCAGGCACACTGGGGGCGGGGGGAGTGAGGGGTCGGATCTCTGAAAACCCCACAATAGGAAAGTCACAGCTAGGACCTTGCAAAGCTTGTGGGAAGAGGTGTTGGGGCCCCAGGGCCTCTCACAGGCCTTAGGAACAAACATCAAAGGTCGGGTTGATGGTGCCCTGGATCCCCAGCATTGTTTTTGGGGCAACAAGATCGGGGGCGTGGGCTGCCAGTAAGGCTCCACTGCAGCTGTCAAGCCACACACCTGTCCTCCAGGGCCCCACTGCTCCTGGGACCYGAGGCACGTGACTCTGTCCCCCTGTGCTCTTGTCTTCCAGCTTCCCTTGTAGCCCCCAGAGTGGGGACATGGAGTCTGGGTCCCTTTCACTTTTGGCCCCTGGGGCTGTCTGGCTGGTCGCCCAATCCTCAGTCACTCACAGATGTTCCCGCTGGCCACTGCACTGCACACTGTCCGGTGGTGAAACAGGGACACAGCCCCCGCCCCAGGGGCCCCGAGTTTCAGCCAGGAAGTCAACACCCAGCTACGCTTACCGTCCTCAACCACTTACCGTCCTCAGTTGTTGAGAGGACTCTCAGAAAGTCACGGGGACCAGCAGCTCAGGAGAGCGAGGGAAGTGGGGAAGAGCGAGGGGTGCCTCAGCAGGTGGGGGGGTCTCCCTCTTTGCAGCAGGATTGAACTTCAAAGCCAGCCTCAGAAACTGTGAGGYGCTAAGCAACTGAGACCCTCTCTCTAAATAAAATAGAAAAGGGGCTGGGATGTGGCTCAGTGTCGAGTACCCCGAGTTCAATTCCCAGTACCAAAAAAAAAAATGTCACAGGGGTCCCGGAGCCTGCGTCTGCAGGGCCTCCAAGGGAGCTGGTGCCTGGACACTTGAAAGATATGATATGTAAGGCTCACTGAGTCCCTGGGGGGCAGGGAGGCCCAGGTGGAGGGAGAGCAGGGACACAGGTCCCCTGGCACAGTGGGAGCTGGTCGGGGCAGAAGTGACTGGAGGACAGCCGGGGAGCGCYGGGYGGGAGAGGTCTTTGGGCCACAAGGACCTCAGAGGCCCAGGGAGGAATTTGCCCTCTATCCTGGGCCTCCTTGGGCCCCTGAGGCCTTCTGAGTAGATCCTTGTGGAAAGCTCACCCTGGACAGAAGGAGGTGTGGACAGAGCAGCGCCTGCAGCCTGGGGGCGAGGCAGGTGGTCTGCACCACCCACCAGGTCCTTGAAGCCCGGCTCTTGCCTGGCACCTAGTGATGGTRCAGAAGACAGCGGGTGCCAGGACTGTGTGTCCCGGGGCTTGGGGCGGAAATGGGGGGGCTTTGCCGAGTGTCTTGCTGTCATGTGACTGTGACCATTCTGACCCATCTTGCTTCGGAGGACACAGGTGAAGTCTGTTCAGTGACCCTGCTGAGTGCCAGCCCAAGCTCATCATCTTGGCCAGCCTCTAGGCCCCCTGTGACGTGGGCAGTGGCTCCCCCGCTGTCCAGAGGAAAAGCAGGCCGAGGAGCTTGCCCAGGGTCCTGAGGTGCCTGTGGCCAGGTGTTCCTGAGCCACAGGGCGTGCAGGAGGGCACGGGAACACGGGGGCTGCTGGACACAGGGCCGCAGCCTTTGCAGCCACAAGGCCTGGACCCARGCAGCCACTCAAGGCACGGGAGGCTCCTGTTAGCTCTGCTAGGCCACCACTGAGACGCCCTTCGTAGCGGCTGGGGTACTTGATTTTGGGTGGGCAGTGAGTGGCCTTTGTGGGAGGCTTCCCACACCCCATGCACCCCATCCTGGGCCGTGGGCAGGGCTGTTCCCTGTAAATACCAGTCCACTGACGTGCGCATTCTTCCTGCRTGACTTCCCTGTCCAGATGAGACACTGCTCTGGGCTGTGCAGGTCCCCGGGAGGGATCGGAGGCCCTGATCGCAGGCAGCCAGTTGGTCATTCAGGGGATCTGCTCCAGGCTGGACACACTCCAGGAGGACAGCACCTCCCACCGTCACCACCTCTGTCTGTCGCTGTCCCAGCTGGCTGACAAGGGCGCATTCCAGGCTGGAGTCGGTCTCCCCCCTTCTGTTTCCTTCCAGCTAAGCTGTGMGGTTGTGGGCACAGGTCAGCCTGTGCCCAGGCAGGACACAATGTGCTCCCTGTGGGGAAGAGGGCAGCTGGTGCCTGCTCAGCGCCTTGGCCCCTTGGTTTGTTTGACAAATGCTCTGAGCACCTACTATGTGCCCGGTGTGGTTCTAGCACTGGGCATAAAGGGGGTGGTTGTACTCTGGCAACTCAGGAAGCCGAGGCAGGAGGATCCCAAGTTCAAGGATAGCCTGGGCGTTTTAGCAGGATCCTTTCTCAAAATAAAACTGAAAAKGTCTGGGGTGTGGCTCAGTGATGGGACAGGTCCCTGTGCTCTATCCTCAGCCCCTCAGAAAACCTCTKGGAGGAAGCAGTCTGCCCACCTGCCATGAAGCACAGCTGCTCTCACCTCCATCACAGATTGGAGCAGACACAACTAAATGCTGTGTGAGGTTCCAGACCAGAAAACTTGAGGGGAAAACCCACGCAAATGTGTGTTCAGCTGATAGAGTCCTGCCAAGGCGTACCTCTGAGTTCCGAGGAGGTTTCTCTGGTCACGTTATGTGACGGAAAGCCAGGTGGAGGGTGCAGGGAGCCTTCTGTGCTGTTGGTACAGACTTTCATGAGACCAGCTTTTCTGAGCTCGCACTGCACGTTGAAGGTCAAGGTCAGAGGCTGGTGCAGGTCACCCTCGGCCAGCTCTGGGGATCACTGTAACAGCCTGCCTTCTGTGGGCTCCTGAGGCCCCTGCATGCCATATGCCTCCTGGAGTGGGCCTGGGCCTCGATCAGGTGCCCATCAGGTGCCCGTGAGCAGGGAAGAGCCCACCTGCTGCCCCTGGTGGCCTTGCCCAGCCGACAGTGGTAAGAGGTGGTGGCTTCAGGATTGGAAGCCAGGTTTCTCCAACTCTTAAYACCCGGCTCCGGGGCTGGGCAGTGCGGAAGTCTGCTCCTCCTTTCACCACTAGCGCCAGCCCACCGTCATCCTGGGTGTCTGTCCAGCCTCTTTCCTCTGGGAGCCCCTCTGGAGCCGCAGGGCCGGGTCTGGCGCCCCCTGCAGGCAGCCCCTCTGCTCTGCCCTCAACTCCACAGCCTGTCCGTCCTCAGGGAAGTGCCACCCGTGACCTTTCTGGAGCTCTTCTCACAGGGTGTGTTATTATTCCTAGGTACCCCTAGGCTGTGGCACGGTGGCGCAGTAGAATGGGGTTGTGTGCCTCTTGTAGGCAGCAGCGCAGACTGAGTTCTCCTTCCTGCGCTAGTCTTTTTTTTTTTTTTTATACCGGTTGCAGCCCACTGGACAGATTTCTCAACCCACCCAAACCTGCAATTGGCAAGACACTCTGGGGGCGTTTCAGTGAGAATCCTATGAACAGGTCACCTTTTTTAAGCAGCTGCTATCTGCTAAGCACAGTGCTGGACACTCCCGATTCATCCTGAGCACACTTTGTACACTAGGCCACCAGGCTCAGAGAGGGACATCACTTAGCCCAGCTCACACAGCAGGGAGGGCAGGTTTCAGGAGTTCTTGAATGCTTGCCTGGGTCCTGCCACTTGCTTGGGGTTGCACCCAGGGAAGGTGGCAGTAGGAATCCAAGGAAAGAAGCCCTGAAACCGTCTCTGTCACATGATCCTCAGGTGGTGCCGAGGAGTCCCACACCTGGCTGATGACTTGATTCTCTTTAGTTTTTTAATTTTAATTTCTAAATTGAACGGTGGCTCATGACAGAGCGCTCCTGAAACGCGCAGCGCGGTGGCCGCGCGTGGATGGGGGTACAGCCCGTCTTCAGCACCCCGGGAGGCCACAAGGTGAGCGGGCTCCTGACTCCTGCAGGCGTTAGTTCTGCGTGTCCCTCGGCCCGTGTGTGGGACTTCTTCCTTCCATAGCACGTCTGTGATGTCACCCAAGTGGCTGTCCACTGGGCCCCAGAAAAGGCCAGGGACCCCTCCAGACCTTGCAGCCAGGACCTGGCCTTCTGAGAGTGCCCATCGGATGTCCATGGCTCCTGCATGCCAGTCAGTCATCTGCTCTGTCTCCGACCCCCCAGAGGAGAGATGTAGCCTCCCTGCCCCCATTTTGCATGTGAACAGGTTGAGCCTGGAGAGGGCTGGCCGCTGGGTCAGCAGAGGTTGTCCCCTCCCTGTGCTGCCCTGGTGGAGAACTGCGTGGCGAGCCCACCAGTGGTGATGGCCACGGTACCGGTGTGGTCAGTCATGGCCGACCACCGCTTGCTTTGTGCAGCGAGTTGGCCACTCCCGAGGTAGGGCCCTGCTTTCGGCCGCACTCCCATAGTGGGCAGGATTTTCACCCCCACTTTACAGAAGTCACAAGTCTGCGCAGCTACCTGTAGACACGGAGGTCACCGGTGCCAACTAGGAGGAGCCCCGAACCCGTGAAGCAAGGGGCACCTGGTGTGCACAACACTGACCAAGATGCTCCCAGCAGCCGTGGAGCTGTGTGTCCCCGCTGTAGAAAAGGCCACATGGGGACAGGAAAAGACCAGCAGTACAGGGGGGTTGGGGCTTCAGGGGCGTGGGTTTTAGGAGAGAGGCCGCTCTTGGGCACTGTCCTGGTGGACAGATGCCATCGCACGTTCATCCAAGCCCAGGGACGCTCGGCACCGGGACTCAGCCTTGTAGAACCAAGCACTGGGTGTGATGGGCGGCCTGGCTGGCGCCTGTGGATGACAGATGTGCCTTCTGAGGGTGTGTGGACAGCGGGAGCTGTGCACGTGTGGGTCAGGGAGGAYGGACTCCGCGTCTGCTCCGTGTTCCTGTGAACCCGAAGCTGCTCCCAAGCACAGTGCTTTGTACCAGCGGAAACGTGGTCCACCGGGCACTTGGTGCTGAGCTGCCAGGACCCCAGGTTGACGGGAAGGCTGTCCTGGCTCCACACTGGAGGGTCCCTGGCCATCCACCGCGGGCCCTTCCTTTCCGTTCCTGTCTGCAGGTGTGCACGGCCACGGGGGCTCCAGGGAGGCCACTGGGGGTCTGGCTGGCTTGGGTGGGTCCTCAGAAGGTGGGTCCTCCTGCCATTTGGGAAGGAGGAGGAAAAAGGCGAGGGAGGTAGTAGCTTCCCTCTGTGGTCCCCACTCCAGGACAGTGTGGACTCAGGGGAGGCGGGCCTCACTGCTGCAGGGCATTGCAAACTCCGGGCTCAGCTGAATCAGTGTCCTTTGGAAAAGTACATCTTGCTCAGGAGCCAAGGAAAGTGGAGGCTCTGCAGCCGGCACACTGAGGTCTCCAGGCTTGACTCACACCTAGCGGGAGGGAGGGTGGCTGGGAGGCAGGCACTGGGCTCAGCTGGCAGCAGGGCCCTCGGCCAGCTCAGGGCAGCTCAGGGCTCTCACTGAACAGCATGTGCCACAGGCACATCGTCAGAGGGCTTCGTCAGGCCAAATCCCCACGTTCGCCTCTCAGCCATGGATAAAGTGAGTCACTGCAAAATCCGATTTTCTTATTCTGCGTTATTGGTTAGAGATGGGTCAGTGCAGGAGGAGTCTGGTGGAGATGGGCTCCCAAAGCCTGCAGATTCGGGAGCATCTGGACGTCCTGGGGAGAGCCCCAGGACGACTCTGGTCCTTGTTTGTGACCTGGGTGATTCAGTGTAGCTCGCTGGACACCAGGTTCTCGTCTTCAAAATGGATCTAGATGACAGCAGCCCCATGACCCCAGAATGGGTGTGACTCTTGTCCCCACACCTGTGACCTGGGCAGACATCTCAGCTGGCGCACACCCAGTCAGGCTCCGTGGCAGCAGCAGGTGCCCCTCCGGGGATCCCTGGTTCAAACCCTGTTGGCCACGGTGTGTGGGGGGGGTCTGGTCCCAGCACCGGTCCAGCTCTGCAGCTCTCCAGTGTCTTTGCCCTTTGGCTCCTTTCAGTTCCACTCTGTCTGTTCAAGATTCAAGGCCAAGTGCAGATCTGATCACCTCCAGGCCAAATCTGACCCTGGGGCATTTGCTTTGCATAGTTTTTTTTTTTTTTTTTTAAAGTGGTCAGTACTATTTTTAAATGGGTGACTTCATGTAAGACCTCAGGGCCTCTGCTCCCTGCCCCTGCTGATCCTCCTGCCTGGTGCTCCCTGCCCCAGGGCCATTATGGATGCTATCTCTCTAATTCAGATCTTCATTTATATGCCTCCTTGCCAGATTAGCCTTTGCTAGCACCCCCACAGCCCACCTCAAACAGCCCCCCTAAAACTGGCAGCTCGTGATCATGAAAATGATTACCAATTGCCCCCTCGGCCAGGCCAGCCAGAGGACGCTCAAGTCCCCTTCTCCTGCCCTCTGCTAGGGGTTGTAAGAAAAGCCTCGCTGGCCCTGGGCCTGCTCTCTGTTGCTTCCTAACTCCTTCCCATCCCCGGCCCCTTTAGGGAGGGGGCGTGTCCGCTGCCCTCGGGCTCTGGACGTGAACCTCTGTGGGAGCCTCTGGAAGCTGCTCCTCCTTCCTCTGCATTTCCCACTTGCCTTTCCAGGTCTTTCTGAACCTGTTTTCTTTTTCTGTGAAAAATGGGACTGGACTAGTTCTTGCACCTGGGTGGTGCTGATCATCTGAGACCAGTGGAGTGGTGAAGCTCCTTCCCCTCCGAAAACCTTCCTCCCGCCCTCTGCTTGTGGGCAGGACTCGGCTGTGACTGCCCCCAAGGCCACTGGGAACATTGTCAAAGGTGCCCTCAGAGCTGGGAGCAGAGGGAAGGGGGCGTCCCTTGGGACGCCCTCCATAGGGACTGGCTGCTTCCCCTGATTTGCTCCTAAACTTAAATACCCCCAAGGCCACCAGCGCATTCCTTTCCTACCTCCGTGCAGGGCCAGCCTGGCAGGGAGTCCAGGCCCTGAATAGCTCCCAGCCAGGGCTGCTGGCGTTTGGGGCCTGCTGTATTTTTATCCCATGACGATGACAATGACGGGTCACTGTGACAAGCACCGCCCCTGCCCCGCCCCTCTGAGATGCATTTCCATTTATAGCATCTGCACAGGGGATGTTGTCCTGCTCTGGAGGTGTGTTGCCAGCTGTTTCCAGTTTCCAGTGAGTTGGAAACGCTTTGGGGACCAGTCACACCACAGGGCTGCCTGTGTCCTTGGCAGGTGGGAAGCCTGACTCAGCCAAGGCCGGCTTCCTCCTGCGCACAGCTCCGGGCTGTAGAGGGAGACCATGCCGGTGGGGTGGGCCCCTCCAGCTGTGCTTGCCTTGTTCACCCCCTTCCCCCTCCGCTCCCTCAGCGAGGGCTCTCGCTTGCTGTTGGTACCAGGAGGCAGCTCTGACCCTGGACAGCCAAGGCCTGGGGGGGTGTGTGAGTGTCAGGAGGCCAGGGAGCATCTCTGTGTAGCCCCTTGGTCCCTGACCTGGCCTCCAACCCCGATGGCCTCTTCCTYGCTGTGTGCACCTGGGCATGTTGCTCTCCCTCTCTGAGCTTCCGCATTTGAGGTGTCCTGGGTAGGGGAGGCCTCTGTGGGATCCAGTGGTCAGCTGCCTAAGTGGGGCTTGGCCATGGAGCAGGAGCCTGGGAAATGCCGGTGCCTTTGCTCCTCCCTCTGCTGACCTGTGGGCGCAGGCTGAAGGCTGAGGAGGTGAGTGGAGGCTGGGATTGAGTCGCACATGTGGCCAGTGGGGGATGCCACGTGGCCAGTACTGCGCTCCTGGCCCCTTGGCGGGTCTGCGTCTCCCTCCCTTCTCCCTCTGCCTCCTTGACAGTGTTTTCTGCACTTCTGTCACATTCACCCCTGAGTAGTTGACATTTTTGTGACCCTCGTGTGACCTTCTGTACGAAACCTTCAGTTTCTCCTTCTTTTTTCCTGAAAATTTAAACCACGGTGTGAATTCAGTTTTATGACCACCCCCTCCCCCACCCCCAAACACACGTAGGTCAGTGGTCAGGCCCGCCCCCTCCCTGGTGCTGTCCCCGCAGAGCCCGGGTCAGAGTGTGCAGGCTTCCTGGCTCACTGGCCATGCCCTTCACGTATGGCTTTGTGTCCAGGGGGCTGTGCCTGCACTTGCCCCTGCACCTCCTCAGGTGGCCACTCTCTAGCCTATACTGTTAGGGCTGGTGCTGTGGACAGGGCCTTGTGTGGACGTCACCTTGCACTTTCACCTGGCATTTGCTGGGTGTCCGCCCTGCAGGTGACGCAGAACAGATCTACCTGGGCCCTGCCCAGTCAGAACAGAAGACCTGCAGCTCTCTGAGGCCTGGGCCAGGAACCTGTGTGCAGAGCCTGGGGTCAGGGAGGGCTCTGGGGGTCAGGGAGGCCTCTCGGGCTGCGGAGCGGTGGCCAGCCCTGGGAGAGAGCAGCAGCAGCTCCGCCCTCCTCCTCTCCAGCCGACTCTTGTGGGGGCAGCAGGAGGGATCAGCCAGGACTCGTGGTCTGTGGTCACTTGTGGGGTGACAGGGCAGAAGCACGGCTGCGGGGCGGGGGACCACCGTGGGGGCGCTAGGTGTGCACTGGTGACATGGGCGTCAGGCAGCTGTGTGCCCGGGCTTCTCCCAGACCTCCTGTGAGCCCAGCCCCTGCTCCCCCACCTCCCAGCCCCACGCCCCTGGGGTGGCACGACATCAGGGGTCAGGCTCAGCTCTGCCCCTGGGCAGGTAAATGGGGCCAGCGATGCTGTCTGCCACACAGGGCTTCACAAGGCTCTGGGGTAATGGACCTGAAGGCTGAGTTCAGGCCAGGTGCAGGGTAGCCTCACGTGGGGTCCTTTGCTATCCTTCCTTCTCTGTCAAGGCTCCTGCACCTGGGGGACAGACAGAGGGTTCCAGCAACAGAGCCCAGCTGACAGAGCGCTGGGTGGTGTGAACGCATATCAGCAGCTTGAATGTCAAGGTCGAGATTCTAGGGGAGGGAAGAATCCCAGGGTTCTCTCTGGGCCTGCCCCTCCCAGCAGAGGCCTTGCCCCCACACCCCGTGCCCAGCTCACAGGCGAGTGCACGCGCTTAGCACCGTCCTGTGCTGGTGGTGGTCAGCAGGGTGCCGTGACATAGCACGCGTGCCTCCTGCCCACACCCTGGGCTGGGCAGCAGGCTGCCCTGGGCTGGTGGGCAGGGCTGACTAGGGCGAGTGCCCGCTGGGAGCCTCAATGGCTATTTTAGGATGAGTGACCCCCATCTCCAGTGACTTGCTGCCAAAAGGCATCCGTTCCATTAAAGCCTTAGTGACCTCACAGCCTCCTGCCACCCACAGGGGGCCACAGAGCCGGCCAAGACGTGTCTGCAGGTCCCTCAGGGTTGGTGTCAGAGTTAAAGCCGCAGAGCTGGGGAGCGAGGGGRGGGGATGGGATGGGGGAGCCGGATGTTCCCAGCTTCTCACTGGGAAAGACGTGTTTGCTTTGGGCCATTAGGGAGCTGACCTCACCCGGCTGGCCGGGGGCGCCTGGCCTCCATCTTCTCTCTGACTGCGCCATCCAGGCTGCCATGAGTGCCCGTGGCCGAGGCATGAAGCCAGAGATGGACACCGGCCGCTCTGCATGGCCCTGACCTTGTGCTCACCACAACACCCAGTTCTGAGCCACGGGCAGGTCCAGGTGGACTCCTCAGGTTCTCCTGTTCCTTGCCCAGTGTTCTCTCTGGGCGCAGAGCAGAAGGGACAGGGAGGGCCGTCTGACACCAAGGTCCTGTCTGGGGGCCACGCAGGCCGGAGCCTTGACTCCCCCAGCAGGAGCAGAGCAGCAGGGCCCCTGAGGTTGAACGGGCACGGCTGGGGACAGGGGCTCCCCTGGGCAGGTGTCCCTGCACATGGCAGGCTACCTCCATGCCAGCACTGTGGWCCCTGGAGCTGGTGGCCCTCCTTGTGGCGTCCTGTCCTGTGTGGCAGACCCCTGGCCTCCACCCACTCGTGCCGATGGCGCCCCAGCCCCAGCCGTGATGGCACGTGTCTCTGGACATCACCACATCCCAGGAGGCACAGTGACTCCTGATTGAGACTTTGGCAAAGGACTTTTCAAAGACACGAGAGGCCCAGGGGTTCATAGCTTTTCATTGGCTTGTTTTGTTTTAAATCCTTTTTAAAAAAAAAAATTAAAAAAAAAAAAAAAACGAGGTGGCTCTCGCTGTGTTGCCCGGGCTGCCCAGCTCCTGGTCGCAGGGACCCTCCAGCCTCCTGAGCTGGGGCTGCAGTGTGCCCTGTGCCCAGCTCTGCTCAAGACCCCCCGACTGCCGAGTCGGTCTTCCTGAGGCTTTTATTGTTGGTCTACACAGTGAACCGGTGGGACCGTGACCTCAGCTGGTCTCAACCTAGAGCTGATGGTGGCAGGCACCAAGGCCAGGGCTCTCAGCCTCATCTGCACAGTCCCTCAAAAGAACTGTATGAGAACATGACACTCAAGGGCATAGCATGACCCTAGCACACAGTAGGTCCGCACCAAGCATCCCTCTTCCCTCCCCATTCTCTTTCCCCTCTCCGCCCCATTCTCTTGACGGTGGGGTGGCCACAGCTGATCACATCACCGCAGTGAGGGGCTGACTAATGTGAGCGAGGAGGATGGACGGCTCACTTCCTGATCCGTCACATGCCTGGGTTCTCACCAGCCTCCTGGTGGCCCAATTTCAGTGACCTTCACCGCTGACTCACTTGGCTTGTGGTCAGCTCTGAAATCAGGATCCTTTTCAGCTCTTCCTTCTCTGCCCCACCAGCCTCCAGCTTGGCTCTAGCGTGGGAAAGGAGTCATTGTCCACGTTCGTTGTGTCCAGGTGGTCCCTCCCACGAGCCAAAAGCTTTGTCAGATGCAGCTACATGAGGGAGGGGCTGTGTCTGCCTGCACCAGGGGCCTTCCCAGGATGGGGTGGAGGTCCGTAAACACCTGTTGAGTCCATGAAAGCCTGTGTGTCACCCCGGGCCTGTCCTCCAGAGGTTCCCGCCGCTCCAGGGCTCAGGCTTGRAGAAACAAACCCTGCCACCTGGAGACTTGGGTGCTGTTGAGCAGCAGGCGAGCTGTAAACTCCTTCCCCTGAGCGGTGGAAGGAGGGGCTGGGATGGAGATTGGGGTGTGAATCCCAGCTCACTGTTCCCTGGATCAGTGACCCGAGCCTGTTGCCTCCACCTGAGCCTCAGTTTTTTCCCTCTGGAAAAAGTGGGATGCCAGGATCTGCCAGGGTCATTGTGGGAATTAGATGCAAATATGTCTGTCCAGGTGCCTGGCGGGCAGAGGGGATCATGACTCAGCGCCTCCTCCTCTCTGGAGCACTTCCCGCCCCAGGTCACCTGCTGTCTGTGTCCTCGTCTTCCTCCCGGTGGCTCTGTTCACCCATTCTCCTGCCCTTTGCTGCCCCCAGCAGACACAAGGCCCTGACGCCCAGCCCTCGGGGCAGACACCTGCGGGGAAAACCTGGACACCTCCTTCAACTCCCAAAATAATTCCCCTGGATTTTGAAAGCTGTCTAAGTTTTCCTCTTGAAACAATTTCAGACTCACCCCCCAAATTACAGAACGAGCTCAGAGTCCCCTCCTGCGTCCCAGGAAGGTGGCGGTGGCCGGCGGCCGACCTGTTGGCCAATCGGCAGAGCTCKCGCAGAGGTTGTCCGTTTGCCGAGCCAGGGTCCCCTTCAGGGTGAGCTGCCCCGTCTGCTCGGCTCAGTTTGGACTTTCCTCATGATCAGAGTGAAGCCGTTCCTTCAAGACCAAGGGGGACAGAGAGAAGGGACCCTCCTGCTGCTGTCCCCCATGTCACTCTGCTGCTGGCTCTCTGGTCTCCTTTGGAGAAGGCACGTGCCTCTCACCTGGCCCCAAGTGGCCTCCCCAGGCCTGTGGCCATCTGTGTCCCCCCCAGCTCTGCAGGGCTTCTCACCCAGAGGGCCACCAGCGGGCCCTGGGCCTCCTCTGGCCATGGCCCCTTTGCGACTGCCCCACCAGAACTGGGAAACTCCACATAAAATTCCAAATGTTTGGCTTTTCTTAAAAAATCTGAAGTCCTGGCCACCCTGATCCCTGCCACCCACGCCGACTGCTCTCAGGGTGCCGCTGACTGAGGGTGGGTGTCGTCCAGTAAACCCATCCCCAGTTGAAGACAGAGTCAGCGTCTGCACCTGGGATGTCCCTGTCCCAGTGCCACCGGCCGACCTTGCGCATGCTCAGAGCCTCAGGCCGGCCCACTCTAGGCCCAGCAGACACACGGAGCCCGCTCTGTGACAGGGCCTTGAGGGTCTCRTGGAGTTTACTGAGTTGATGTCCTTTAGCGTGAGATCCCAGGCTGAGCGGGTTCTGCACTCACATGGCCAGCCTGGGGAAGGTCAGGTTCAAGGGCACTTCCCCCAGGGCTTGGCATCCCYGCTGAACCAGCTGCAACCCCTTCAGACACCAGCCCCTGCAGCAAGTTTCACAAGGGCCTCAGGGGCTGACCCCAGGAGCGAGGGACCCCCACCCCCCGCTTCTGGGTGCTTTTTATGCACTCAGGCATTTGACCCTCACTCCCGCTCGATGGGGTAGTTGCTGTCGTTGCCCCCACTACACAAAGCAACCAAGGCACAGAGAGGTCAAGCAACGGTCCCAAGGTCACGCAGGGAGGCAGTCACAGTTGAGCAGTCTAACGTCACAGTCAGACTCTGGACCTCTGATGTGGCTTCCAAGCTCAGGGCCCACCTTTTCAGAGAAGAGCAGTCATGGGGACCCTGTCCCCCAGCCCTCGTCTCCATTGCCAAGCAGGCAGCAGAGAAAGCACTGCCTTTTGAACCCGGCCCCCCTACAGGAGTCCTTCTCCCCTGAGGTCTTAGTGTAGCTGGCAGAACCAGGGACGGCCCTTAGGCAAGACGTCCAACCAGCCCAAGCCTTGGGTTTAGCAAGATGCCTTTGTTTCCCAGTCACCAGAGAGCAGCCAAGCCCCCTGGTCCTCAGCCTCTCCACCAGTCAGGCCCTGCCCCCAGAGCCTGGCACAGGTGGGCAGGCCATGACCTGTGTGGGGCAGAACTACCTCTGTGCCTCCGGGAAGGGAAGGAGGCCTGGCGTGGAGCCTCCCCGCGCTCAGTCCTCGCAGGAGTAGGAGGCCCATCTCAAAGAGGAGGAATGCTGAGATCAGAGAGGGATAGCCTTTTGCCTACAGTCACACAGTAAGGAAGAGGACTGGCGAGATTGGAGCCATATGATTCCCAGGCTTCAGCTCTCATAGCCGGGGTGGGGCGTGGGGTGAAACAGCAGGCATTAAATCCATGCCACCTGATTCCAAACCCTGGGTTTTCCTACCACCCCGTGACTTCCCTGAGCTCTGGGGGGACCCTGGTGTTGAAGGGCAGTGGTGCTTCTGGGAGGAACCAGAGGAAACGGCCACCACCAGSTTGTGCCAGGCCCTGGGCTGCAGGCGGACGCACATTCACCTCATGCATGTGGAGCAGGCGCTGGCCAGGGCTCCAGGGGAGAGTGGAGACGAGGAGGRGAGGGCAGGAAAGGGAAGGTGACGGCAGTTCTGTGGCACCCTGCAGGCCGCCCCGTTTCCTCCAGGGTCACCTGAGTCACTCCGCAGTTACCTCTGCAGGGCTGCTATGTGCCAAGGCTTGGGGATATGGCAGGGACACACCAACAAGGTCCCTGTCCCTAGGGAGGTTACACTCTGATGCAGGGAGACCCACCTGGAAGGGCCGACCAACCCAGYGAGCCCACAAGGTCACTCGAGTGACCTTGGGCAACAAGTGTCAGGACGGAGGTGCCAGGTACCGTGAGGGGCACCCTCACGGATGACGCAGAGTGAGGCTGCTTGGAGGAGGTGGCCCTGGCGTGGGAGGCCTCGGCTCACTGCCCACCGGGCCTGGCACCTGCCCGCCCTCGCCCCAGCTCTGCCCTCATGCTGCTGTTCCTCCCGTAGGTTTGACATCTACAGGAAGGTGCCCAAGGACCTCACACAGCCCACCTACACCGGGGCCATCAGTGAGTAGCCCCTCCGACCCCTGTCCCCACTCTGCATGCCCCCCACCCCCTGCGCCCGCCCGCTCTGTGCAGAACTGAGAGGAGAGGGGTGCCCTCCCCGCCTCCCACGGGCCTCTCCGCCCTGCCCTGCGGGGCCAGGCAGGGTCTGTTCTAGAGGGTGCCCGGGGACTCTCCCATGTCATCGAGGAGCCCGAATCTGAAACCCCAAATGCTCCAAGGTGTTTTCTGTGGTGTGAGGCAGCCCCCGGGTGTGCCAGCCAAACGGTGCAGTGAAGGCCTTGTGCCCAGGCCCCGTGTGGAGGTGCCCAAGACACACGGTGGATTTTTATCCATTTAATAAAAGCCTCAAATGCACCTGGAGTGGGGTCTCTGAAGGCCACGCTAATAAAAGGGACAGGACTCCCGAGAGAAGCCCGATTCCAGCGAGAGTGGGCAGTACGCCRTGGCCTGGGGTTTGTGCCCCAAACCAGGACCACCCGAGGCCAGAGCTGGAGTGGAAGTGACAATAGCATCAGTCTAGGACCCAGAGAGTTTAGAAGTGGCCTGCAAGTGACACTGATGAGTGGACTAGAGAAGACAGGGCTTCCTGACAGAGTGATTCCAGAGGGAGGGACCCACCTCGCCATCCCAAGGTGGAGCAGAAGGCGCCTCTCATGGAGACAGGCTGGGTGTCACCTCCCTCTGCCTCGGCCTTGGGGTCGAGGAGGCGGAGGGAATGTGGGGGTCCAGGGTCAACCCCTGTCAGACCCCCGTGGGACAGGGCGGGATGTTCTGCAGAAGGCAGAMGTTTCAATTTCAACATGAAATCTCTCCCATGCGGACTCCACCTTGTCCATCGCGTGTCACTCGAGCCCAACAGAAGCACACCTGTGTGGGCTGCCCGTGTGCCACCTGTGTTGGAGGCTGGCCTTGACATTAGAGACCACCCTGCGCAGGGAGGGCCACCCTGACCCCAGAGTCGGCTCAGTCTCCACCACAGGCTTCCGTTCYTGGGGTGGGGCTGCTTCATTGAGGCCGTGGGGAGAAGGGCCTTTGGAGGGAGTGAGGGAACCTCCCCCACAGTGTCCGCGGCCTCCGAGGAGGACTGAGGGGCGGCCTCCTCTCTGGAGCCTCCACCCTGACCGTCCTGCTCTGTTCTTGCAGTTTCCATCTGCTGCTGCCTCTTCATCCTCTTCCTCTTCCTCTCGGAACTCACCGGCTTCATCACGACAGAAGTGTAAGTCACTCTGAGCCCCCGTTTGACAGAAACCTCCCTGCTCTCTCACGTCAGTTTCCGGGCCCCTGCCCACCGCTCTGTTTCATAAAGTGCCTTTGAACTGAGAGCACAAGTGAGCAGGGCTTGGTCCACGTGAAAGGATGGCTTTCYGTGCGTCCTGCGGGGCTCCTGGGTCCACGGATGAATGGACCTGCTCAGCTCTGCACTCCTGGTTGGACRGGGCCTCTGTCCCTCTGAGTCACCTCGGGGTCATTTGCTGCTGTAGCTGGAATTGTTGGGAGGACGGGGCAGCTTCCTGGGGGGGTCGCTGACTTCAGACTCCCCCACTGCTCCCCAGGCCCACACAGGCGGGGTCCGCGTGGGCTTCCTGGCAGCCATGACCCAGCCGTCCATCTGATTCCTAGAATGACCCGCTGTCCCCTCGCCCCCAGCCTGCAGGGTGTGTGGAGCCGGCCACCCCCTCACAGTGCCCCCGGGGACGAGACCAGCACTTTCCTGCTGTTGGCACTGACTTCAGACTTCAAAGCGCTGTTCCTGTGTTTACACCAGAGAGCTCCCCCCGCCCCCAGTCAGCCTGGAATGTTCTCGTTCTGGTGGTGGAATTTCTTGTCTCCTTGGCCTTCCTCTCAAGAACAATGGAGGGTAGAAACCCAGCTGCCTAGCCTAGGTGGCCCTGGATGGCAGATAGCGTCACTACCTGGTGACCCTCAGCCCCAGGAGGCGGACACGCTCTCGCTACAGAGGAAGCCGAGGGTCAGAGAAGTGGAGGGACTTACCACAGCCACTCGGTTGGGCGGCGTCTCCAGGCCACCAAGGCACCTGTAGGGCCTCCCCCTAGCCTCCCACCTTCTCCTGGGGTGGAGCAGCTTGCCTTGCTGTCACTCTGATTCTGTTCTTAAACCTTTTGGCACCAAAGCCCAGGGATCTCATAGACTGGTGGGGGGACCCAGGACTGGGTCTGTGCAGTCGCTGCATTACTGTGTGACCCTGAACAAGCTGCTGAACCTCTCTGAGTCTCGGTATTGCTGACTGAGTGAGGGCAAGCTCCCCCCTGATTCTGGGAGAGGCCTTGCTTTCTAAGCCGTGACCCTCCAGGGAGAACAGGGGTCAGGAAAGGACATTTCCCCCACTGCAGCCTGTCCCCCATTGGGGGTGTCAATGGCCTTCTCCGAGGCAAGCAGGCTCCCCTCTTTAGCATTTGGGCTGCTGGGATCTCAGGGGCTGCTTTTAGGAATTAGAGGTGGAAGCAAGAGGTGGAGACCAGCTGTACTGTGAAGCACCTGCTGTATACCGGCTGGCAGTGCCAGGCTCTGGGCTCACCTGCTCCCTGGGGTTGGGGCTTCTCTGCAGACCTGTGGTATCTGAGGGAGGCAGGAACTGTCCTGCAGGGCGGTGGCCAGGCCCAGGCCCAGGCCCTCGGGTAGGGTGGCTTCCATGCTACGGGGCTCACTGCTGACCATGAGGGCTCACCCCCCTCGCTGGGCCAGCCTCTCGGCCCCTGTGTCCATTCTCAGAAGAGCCCAAGTGGGCCTTGGACCCAGGCCGTCAGCAGACAGACAACACTGTCCCTGGGGGTGGACCAGGATCCCCAAACATAACAGCATCTGAGATGCTGGCGTTCCTACCATCACAGGGCGTCATTTATGCTTGGAACCCACTGCCTCCTGCTGCCCATACAGTGTCCCCGCTGTGAGTGGTTGTCACACCGTATGGTACAGGGAGACCCAGGAACAAGTCTGCCCCATGATGACCTGGAGCTGGAGTGAACCCAGGGCCTCTGGTGCTGGGCAGGTGGCGTCCCCAGCCTCCCATGTTCCCAGTCCAGGGTGGGCTGAATCTGTGGGCATGGGAACCTCGATTGGGGGTCGGCTGCATATCAGTGACCRCTGAGTGGAAGAGAAGCCCCGAGCAGGGTCTGCGTGGTGGACGAGGGCTGCAGGGAGGTGGTGCTCCGAGGCTAGACCCGGGCTCTCCGCCTGGCCTGGCGGCTGGGCCGACCCGCACCTCCTCTCGTGGCCCCAGCACCGCTTGCGCCCATCTAGCGCTGGTGGGCTTCAGGGCTGCTGTGCCCGGGGCGTGTAACCCGGGCCCTGGGCGTCCCTTTCCTCACCCTCCTCCCTCTCTGGCCTCTGACGGATGACTTGATGGTGGCGTTACTCAGCCCAGCCGTGGTGAGGCAGGCACTGGGCAGTGGGCCGCAGACCAGGAGCTTGACGTCAGAGCCTGAGCTGGCGCGGGCGGGCCACCTGTGCGCGCCTGCCCCTTCCACTCGCTGCCCCGTCAGGCCCGCAGGCAAGCCCAGGCAGCCYGTGCCGTTTACCAAGGGTGGGGCGGCCTGCTTCTGCGGAGCACAGTGTGTCCCCACCGTCCTCCCTGCTCCATGACTTCCTCTTGGTGGCCCTGGAGAGGAAGAAAGGGTCGAGGGGGCASGAGAACACCAGGGTCCACCTAGAGGGGGTTGGCCTCGCGTCCAGCCCTGGGATAGACACGCGACCGTCTTCAGCATCGCAGCCGGGCGAGGAAGGAGCTGGGGGAGGGGACAGGGCTGTGCAGAGGTGCCACCGTGAACATGCCAGTTGCCTTCCTGCTGCCTCTGCCACGCTGCAGGAGTTGCCTCCATTGACCGAGGGCTTGGGCACAGCCGGGGGGTAACCACCAGCCCTTTGGGGCCTCAGGTTCATGAGGCTTCTCTGAGCCCCAGGGAGGCCTGCAGGTTTGGGAAGAGCTGGGGGTGACCATTTACCCCCTCTCTGGGTGGCTGGCCCTCTCGGGTGGTTTGGTGACCACAGCGGGTCAGCACCCCSCCTCTCACCATGAGCCTGTAGCTGAAGGAAATGAGGTCACCTCCTCTTGGAGCAGCACCGCTCCAGCCCGGCCTGTGGTTCCCAGTGACATAAGGCACTTGTTCTGGCCCAGCCCCGTGGGGAGGAGGCATGTTTGTCTGGGTGGTTGGGTTTCAACCTGGGCTTTGGACAGGCCAGTGACTGTCCTTGGGAAAGTGGCCCCACAGGATGTCCTGAGATTCTGTTTCCAGGGGGCAGCGCCCTCCCTGGAGAAGGCGGCCCAGACCGTTCAGGCTCTGGGTGACCAGGCTCTGACGGCTCAGTGACAATCTACCCGCCGAGGACTCAGTGATAAAACGCAGCAACTGGAGCCTCCGCCAGTGGCTCATGGCACCCTGGCGCTCTGTCCAGTGGGATTTGTCTGACTGACCACCACTAGGTCAGCGTGCCCAGGTTAGGCTGGGCTGGCTAGGGACAAGGAAGTGCTGACTAGGGACAAGGAAGTGACGCCCAGTACACACGTCCAGGTTGTATGATAATCGTCTCCTTTAACCTTCACAAAACCCCGTGGCTGCTTGTTTTTAGCTCCACTTTAAAGCCAGGGACTCTGAGGCACCAGGCGCTGAGACCCCACCAGGCGCTGAGACCCCACCAGGCTGGTGGGTGGCAGAGCCAGAGTCAAGCCCAGGTCTGTGGGACACCGAGGCCCGGCCTGCGCACCCCACCCTGCCATGCCCCCGTCTCTGGCTGGAGCCCTCTGGAGCCCCGGTGCTGGGGGGCAGGAGCGGCGACGCACAGGCAGCTGCAGCCCCAGGGAGGGGAGCTTGGGGGCCACCTTCAGGTGTTCCCCCACCCTCCCCAGGTAGACTCAGACTTGGGGAGACAGTCACTAGCCGAGGGAGGGGAGAGAAGGCTCTGTGAGCCTGGAGTGTGGTCAGGGCTGGCAGGCAACCAGCAGGTCACATTCAGGGGCACTGAGGACCTTGCATGAACCTGTCACTCTGAGGGCCGGGTGACAGGTTCATGTATTAGAAAGGTCACCTCTTGTAAAGGTGAGTCCAGGACAGGTGACCCTGAAGCCTGGGCCCTGGTGAGGAGCCAGGTGGTGGCCCAGGACCAGCAGGAGGCTGGCTGTCAAGGGACATGTTTTGGTGGCCATCCATCTAGGTGATACATGCCTTGCTTGCTGGAAGAGTCTGGACTTAAAAGTCAAGGTCTGGGGMGCCTGTTGACATAAGCTGCAGCCACTGCCCCCAGCCCCCGCCACTGCCCCAGCCCCCACCACTGCCGCCTGTAAGTTTCCATTGGATCAAAGGAAGGAGGTCTGCGACTTTGGCCAGGAATTCCAACTATTCAAGTGTTCTTCTAAAAGCAAATAAAATTGTTTTCCATAGATGTCACTGGGCTCAGCCTCAGCCCAGAATCTCAAGGCCCTTAGCTCCTCCGCCTACATCCCCGTCCCCCGCGCACCTCGGCCTGCTCTGGCTCTCCCCTACAAGGTCAGTTCCACAGCCTCCTCCCTGCACACTCAGGCTCCGCTGGCTGGCCGCCCACCGTCCCCCACCTGGAATGTGGGCACACCCTCCCCACTTCCCAAGCGGAGGTCTCCCTCCTGTCTCACGGTCATTCCACAGGAGTCTGCGAGCGCACCACACTGTGCTGAGGCTCCCAGAGGCCTCGACCCCCATGGACTGGCCAGGAGCAAGATAGGAAATGCCCCTGTGAAGGCCCTGGTGTCATCCTGGCCCAAACAGGAGGCCAGCTCAGAGGGACTAGCTCTGCTGTCCCACGGGGCCGAGCCCAGCCCCACCTGCAGCAGTACATTCACGCCTCGCGGTGCGGTGAGGGGTCCTGGTGCCATCCCCATTATTCACATGATGGTAAAAGTCCTGGAGCTAGATTGAGCACCTACTGTTTATTAAGACCATGTTTAGAGTTGCTTTTATTCTCTCTCTCTTTCTTTTTTTTTTAATATTTGTTCTTAAGTTTTAGGTGGACACAGTATCTTTATTTTACATTTATGTGGTGCTGAGGATCGAACCCAGTGCCTCGTGTGTGCCAGGCAAGCGCTACCACTGAGCGCCCCCCAGCCCCTGCTCTCATTCTCACTTAACCCTCCCCGCAGCTCTGTTATAGATACTGTCGTCCTTTGGTGTCCTTGGGGGGTCCAGACTGAGACCCCAACCCAGGATGCCAAAACCTGAGGCTGCTCAAGTCCCTCCTGTGGAATGGCGCAGTATCTGCAGGGAACCTGTCCACCCTCCTGGGAACTTCAACATCTCTAKATGTCTTATGTGTGACGTGACCCCTCGCACAGTCTGACCCTGGTGTAAGTGTTACGCTGTGTTGTTAGGGAACAGTGACAAGAAAAAAAAATACATATGTCTGATAAGAGCAGAGTCAGCTTCTGTTTTTGAATATTTGTTGGTTGAACCCAGTTTGTAAGACCTGGGATTCGGAGGACCCACTGTACTGGGATGGCCCCGTTTTGTATCTGGAGAAACTGGGGCTGATGGAGGCAAGGCCCCTTGTCCAGGGTCAGCCAGGAGGGGGTGCAGCCAGGACTGATCCCTACCTGGGGGCTTCCCTGTGATGCTGAACTCTTTCCCAAGAGAGCTGTGCGCGACAGACAGACACAGACCCCTGCGTCTGCTGTGGGGCAGCCTTGGCTTGGTAGCCGGAGCTCTCCTCCCCCTTTCTCTTTGTCCCTTCCTCCCCCCCCCCCCCCCCCCCCCCCCCCCCCCCCCCCCCCCCCCCCCCCCCCCCCGCTTCCCTTCACTCCTGACTTTCTTTCCTTCTTTGTAGCCGAGGTCTGTGGGACTTGTGTGCAGTAAAGTGTGCAGATTCGCGGGTGAGGCTTGGTGCACTGTCACCTACAATTGCACTATGTGCCCACCATCTGACCAGGACAGTGCATTTCCCTTGCACCCCCCACGGTCAGTGTCCCCTACCACCACTGTTCTGACCCCTATGGTCATAGACTGATTTTGCCTGTTATCAGACTTTCTCAGAAGTTTCCCCAGTTGTTCAGAGGAGGAAACTGAGGCTCTGAGAGGCGGAGCAGCATGCCCTGGTGCCCCGGCTGCTAAGTGGCAGAGATGAGCCCACCCCTGTCTGCCCCGCCCCCACAGGTCTTCTCATTGCCTGTGCTAAAAACCACGAGGTGCCAGTCTCGTGGAAGTCCCCAAACTGCAGTGGGTCCACAGAGCATTCGCTTTTCTTCCAGGTGGGCTGGGGGCCTTTTACCAACCCCCAAAGCCAGTTTGTCCTGCGGGCCCTGCCAGGGGGGCTGCTGTGGCCTGGTGGGGTGGCAGGAAACCAGCAGGCCTGGGACTTGCCTTGGATGCAGAGGCAGCTGTGCTGATCATATGCATTGGAGGGGCAGGAGACTGGACCGCAGCTGTCCTGCAGCCCAGGGCCCTCCAGGCAGGAGCTCCAGAGCAGCCAGTTCTGGCCCAAATGCCACAGGCCTGTGTTTGTCCTCCCCACCCAGCGCCCTTGCCCCTTCTGGGTGGCCCTGAGCCCTGGGCAGCTGGCTGCTCTGGTTGTTCTGGTTGAGAGGCGGGAGGCCGGGCCTGGCAGGTGAACTCAGCTGGGCCACACCTGGGATTCACCCTGCTCTTTGCTGAGGTCACCTCCCCACGATTGCCAGAAATGACATCATCCCATAATCCCTCAGTGGATCAGTGGCTCGAGGAGGCCCAGCCTCACCAGGTGGGAAAGGTGAGCCATTTCAGGGAAGAGTCTGGGGCAGGGAGGAAGCTGGGCTCTGTCTCTGCGCTCACCCTCAGCTCGTGACTCAGCAGCCCTCTGGAGCAGTGAATCAAGGAGCAGAAAGTGGGTGCCCAGGGCAAAGGAGGTGTCCGTCTGGCCAGAGGGCTCGGTCCTCCCCTGTGCACAGCGCCCCCCCCACCATGTGCCTTTGTCCCTCCTACTTGTGTGACGTGGCCCRACAATGTGAGCACCCCTGCCCAGCGGACGCCCTTGCCTCCCCGTGGCCTCCAGAGGCCAAGGCTTCCCTCATTCTTACCCTTGACCCTGGATCCTGAGGAGTGGGAGGGCGGGTGGGCAGTGTGAGCTGTGGAAATCCTGAGCTCTGGCGGAAGGCCGAGCCGGTTAAGAGTCTAGCTGGGGCTAGGTGTGGGGCATACACCTGGAGCCAACCAGTGGCTCAGGAGGCTGAGGCAGGAGGATGGCGAGTTCAAAACCAGCCTAAAGCAACTTAGCGAGGCTCTAAGCAACTCAGTGAGACTCTTCCTCTAAATAAAATACAGAAAAGGGCTGGGGGTGTGGCCCAATGATTGAGCGCTCCTGGGTTTAATTCCCAGTACCCCCCCCCCCAAAAAAAAAGTCTAGCCTGGCCATTTCCTGGTGTGTGACACTGGGGATGGGACACACCCTCTCTGAACCTTGGTTTCCTGGTGTTAAAATCAGGACATTTCACAGGAGCAGATAGGATCATGTGAATGCACATAGTAGGCCTCCCTAATTAGCTTCCCACCTTCCCTTTAACCCATTAAGCTGGGGGTCCCGCAGGCTGAAATCTGAGCTACCTCTGTGGCTGGCCTGTCCCCAGGAATACCCCTATGGCCCCCACAGAGAAGCAGACGGGCTGCCTTTCTGCACCCACAGTTCCGTGTTAATTGAGCACCAGCTATGCCACAGCAGGTACCAAGAGCAACAGATGGAGTTCTGGTGGAAAGGAGATCCACGCCTCTTCCCTAGACAGGTCGTCTGCAATCTCGTGTCTGATGGTTGAGCCCAAGAGTCCCTTATTATTAACTCCAGTTCTGTGCAGTGGAGACCGGGAATGTCCATCTAAATGGGCGGCTCTGTGCCCACCGACGATGTCTCCCTGTCCCCATCCTGCTGATGTTTGAAGTAACCACTGCCCAGCCCCGTGGCCCTCCCCCTTGGGCTGCCTGCTGGCCACACCCATGGAGTCTGTTCCCTCTCCCTGTGGGGAGTTAACTGAGCTCAGACTGAGCCTCTGATCCCTCTTAGCAACTCCTCAGCCTCCTCCTGATCAGAACAGCCCCTGAAACTCAGTACCTGTCCCTCCCTTGTCCCAAGTTCCCCAGGGGCTCCYGGCCCGGAGAGAAATATGGCCTTCTACCCACATGCCTGCCTCTGCCCACCCCACCGCCACCCTTCCGCAAGTCCAGCCTGCTCTGCACGGTGCCTGGCCTCCTGTCCATCCCCCCACGTCCTGGCTGCCTCCCATCTGGTGTCCCTGTCACAGGATGGTCCCTCTGGAGGGAGCCCATTCAAGTGCAAGCCTGACCATCTGGCTGTGCTGTGCACCAACTCTGAAGACGGTGGCCTGGCCGCCCGGCACTCTCCAACTGCGTCACAGCCCCGCCTCCCCTCGCTCCACCGTGCAGCCTCGGTGACCTTCACTCGGGTCCCACACACGCTGCGTCCTCCCCACTGCCAAGCCTTGGCGCAAGCGGCGGGGTCCTCCTCCCGTCTCTGCCAGGACCTGCCWCATCTCCCTGCAGACCTTACCCGCATCTCAGAGGAGCCCTCTACCAGCTCCCTGGAGGCCTGTCGCCCTGCGTCCCTCCCGTGGTGCCCTGCAGCCCTCCGTCCCAGCACTGATCTTAGCTGGTGGCAGTGTTTGTGTAGGAGGCACGAGGTCTGAAAGTGCCACAAAAGTGGAGACCACGCCCGTCTGCTTCGTCACTGCTTCTGGTGCCTGACAGGTAGCAGGTGCCCAAAAATGTTTGTGAATAAATGTGTTACTACCAGATCCCGACCTGGTGCCACTGTCCCTGTCAGCAAGGTGATGTAGCTGTCTGGAGCCACATGTCCCCTAGCTGTGGCCATTAAAAGCAACAGAGCAGCTGGGCATGGTAGTGCACACCTGTAATTCCAGAGACTCTGGAGGCTGAGGCAGGAGGATTGCAAGTTCAAAGCCAGCCTCAACTTAGCGAAGTCCTGAGCAACTTGGCGAGACTCTGTTTCTAAAATATAAAAAGGGCTGGGGGTGTGGCTCAATGGTGAAGCACCCCTGGGTTCAATCCCCAGTACCAATAAAATAAAATAAAAGCAGCAGAATAATGATCCCCTGTCCCCAGCGATATCCATATCCCTGTCCCTACAATCCATGCTGTGTCCTTATGTGGCACAAGGAGTTTTACAGGTACCATTACATGAGGATCTTGGGGTGGTGCCGTGACCCTGGCATATCTAGTGGACGGGATGAAGTGACTGGAGTCATGGGGAGCAGGAGTCGGAGCCAGGAAAGAGCTCTCTGTATGCGCAGGGTGACACATTCTGTCTGTTCGAAGCCATGTTCTCTGCTGCTGGTTCCAGCAGCCACATCTCCTGTTGTCCACAACCTGGGGTCCACCCCCAGGGCTTTATAAGCATGAGCTCCCTGGGATTCCAGGTTCCCAGCTGGATGGGAAGGTATCCCACGAGAGGAGGCAGATGGCACTGGATGGTCGTTGGTGCCCGGCCCTGAGCCCTAGGAAGACCGTGGTTCTCATTTCAGAGTTCAAACCACCCCGTTAGAAATGAGCAGCGTATCTGCATTTAACAGATGGGCTCACAGAGGTGCGCGTGGGAAGTGCCACCACCAGGATTTGAACTTGGACCCATCTGATGTGAAAGATGTGCCCTTGTCTCCCCGCACCCCTCCTCCCTCCACGTGGTGGGGAGCCTTGGGAGGGGCTGGAGCCCAAAGCCCTGCTGCCCCATGCCTGTTCACACAAAGGCTGGACTCAGGTGGGCCCAGGTCATCTGAGCACTGGTCACCAACGAGGCACTGGCYGTCCCCCATGGATCGCTGCCTCCCTCTCCGTTAAGCCTCTGCTTGTCTCGCCCTCAGTGTGAACGAGCTCTACGTCGATGACCCGGACAAGGACAGCGGGGGCAAAATTGACGTCAGCCTGAACATCAGTTTGCCCAACCTGCACTGCGAACGTGAGTGTTCCCGAGGCCGCTGCAGCGCTCACTCCTGTGGGCAGATCTGTGTGCGCAGGTGGCCAGGGGGAGCCAGGGGGACAGGGCCTCTGAGGCCCCGCTCTCTGTTTTAGGAGAAGGTATTTTGGAGGTTTGTGGGGATAAGAAACTCCTCTCGGGGTCACCGCTGCAGAGCAGCCTGGTGGGCCGGGTGGAGTCCCTCGGGTCTCTTGGTCTTTAGAGGCAGGGCCTGAGGGTCCATGCACGTGGTCTGTTGAGGAGGAAGAGGCTGGGGCAAGACAGGAGGTAGCCAAGACGAGTCTTTAGTGTCAGTCCAGCCGCAGCCCGGCATCACGGCAGCTGTGCCATGTGGTGACACCGTCCAGTTTTTCCCGCAGTCKCGATGGGACCAGGTGCCATCTGTCTCTGGCTGGTGGCTGCAGGCTGCTGTGGGTGGAAGCATCAGGGTCACCGGCCACCAAGCATCTCAGGAAGATAGCCCAGAGCAGTGGCCCAGAGAAGGGTGGCCAGAGCCACCAACACCTGCAGAAGAGGGTGGGCACCATCAGCAAGAGGTCCCCAAAGATGTCCCTGTGGGGGAGGTCAGGAAACTTCCTTTTTTACTTCAAACCTACTTTGGGTATTTTAATCAAAACAGTGAATTACTCCTGTAAAACAAAATGCAGTCAAGGTCAGATTCAGGGTCAGATCCTGGCTCCTTCATTCACAAAAACCGTGACCATTGTTAAAATGGTCTGGGCTTCCTCAGCCACTGGCCCTCTACTGCCTGCCGCGTCACCTGATGCCCCCTCCTCCCCCCGCCCGTCCCCCATTAAAGGGCACAGCAGAGGGCAGGATGCCCAGGGCCCAGTTAGAAGCAGGGAGGTGTCAGCCCTGTCCCTGCTTCTGGTGAGACTGACGTTAGACTTTTGAATCCACAGTGGCCCCGAGCCAGAGAACTTATTGAAATAGGTCAGTTTTATTTATTTTCATTAAAAAAWTTTTTTTTCCTTCCTCTTGGAAAACAATTCATTTGGCAGCTTCTCCTTCAGGAGCCGATCATGAAGGAAAATCTTAGTCAGGCCAGAGGACGGGGGCCAGTGGAGCAGGGAGGGGACGTGGTTCTGGGCTCTGTCCCAGCTCCAAGCAGTGGCCTAGAATGCACCTTCAGGCTGCTGGCCACATTGGCCCCTGATCCTGAATGGGAGCAGCAAGCCTGGAGGCCCGGCCCCCGGCTTCTTGTTAGAAGAACTTAAGGGATGGGGTGCAGCTCTGGGTAACCTGCCCAGCACTGCAGAGTAAAAAGGGAGGGGAGGGAGGGAGGGAGGTAAGGAGGGAGAGAGGGAGGAAGGGAGGAAGGGGGGTAAGAAGGGAGGGAGGGGGAGGGAGGTAAGGAGGGAGGGAAGTAAAGAGGGAGGGAGGGAAGGATGAAGGAGGTAAGGAGGGAGGGTGGTAAAGAGGGAGGGAGATAGGGTCAAGGGAGGTAAGGAGGGAGGGAGGTAAGAAGGGAGGCAGGGACAGAGGGAGGTAAGGAGGGAGAGAGAGGAAGGAAGGGAGGGAGGGAGGAAGCGGGGGAGGGAGGAAGGGAGGTAAGGAGGGAGAGAGGGAGGGAGGTAAGGAGGAAGGAAGGGAGGGAGAGAGGGAGGTAAGGAGGGAGGAAGTGGGGGAGGGAGGAGGGAGGGGAGAGGGAGGGAGGGACTTCACATTTTATATGTATTTTAGTTGTCAGTGGATCTTTATTTATTTATCTGTGGTGCTGAGACTCGAGCCCTATGCCTCTGACGTGCCAGGCAGGCGCCCCACCACTGGCCCACGACCCCAGCCGCATATCATAGCCAAGACTGCATGCTTGTGGGCTGGGGCTGGGCTCAGTGGTGGAGCACTCGTCTCCCACGTGTGAAGACCTGGATTCGATCCTCAACACCACATTAAAAAATTAAATTAATTAAATAAAAGTATCATGTCCGTCTACAACTAAAAAAATATTTTAAAAAAATGCATGTTTGTCATTGTCYGTTGGCAAACCCAGAGGAGCAGAGACGGTGTCTGTGGACACACTGACATCATTCTGTCCACTTGGCCGCCCCTCTTCTGCCTTTCTAAATGCTGCTGAGATCATGCTGCATGTCTGACCTCACACCCTGATTTTAAAAATAGTATTCTTTTTTTAGACCTTTATTTTATGTATTTATTTTTTATGGTGCTGAGGATCGAACCCAGGGCCTCACACATACTAGGTGAGCGCTCTACCACTGAGCCACACCCCCAGCCCCAAAATAATATTTTTTTGGCACAGTTTTAAAGACACACATTCAAATTACAAAGATATGTAAAGAAGAAAGTTAAAGCATTGGAATGCCCCTCTCTTATTCCCTTTCATTATTCCCCATTGTGCCATCGTCCCTAAGGAAGCCCGYAGGCAGTAGGGCCCCTTCCCTACCACCACTCAGTGCAAACACACACAGTCAGCCCTCCACATCTGCCGGTTCCACATTCAGGGAATTGACTAACTGCAGATCAAAAACATTGGGAAAAAAAGATTTGGGGAAAAAGTCTGTCCTGAACAGACTTTTTCCTCATCATTATTCCCTAAAGGACACAACATAAAAACTGTATTCGCCAGTTGTCTGTTACTGTAACAAATCCCTGAGAAAATCGACTTACAAAGAGGAAAGGTTTATTGGGGCTCAGTTTGGGAGATTTCAGTCCTTCCTTGGTTGGCTCTGTTGCTTTGGGGCCGTGGTAGCACATCATAGTGGTGTGTGTGTTGGAGCAAAGCTGCTCCTGGCAGGAAGTGAAAGAGAGAGGAAGGGGCTGTAGTCTTCCTTCCCTTCAAGGGCACACCCTAGTGACAGTGGCCTCCCACTAAGCCCCACCCCTTGAGGGTTCCACCACCTCCCAACAGTGCTAAGCCAGGGACCAAGGCTCTCTCACATGGGTCTCAGGGGCACCTGATGTTCAAGCTGTAGCAGCTGTTTGCAGAGCCTGTTGTAAGTCCTGGGGAGGAGATTTGAATAGACAGATGCCGGATGCCGTGGGTCATATGCAAATGCTGCCCCATTTTATAGGTGGCGTTTGAGCAGCCTCAGCTTTTGGTGTCCCCAGGGCTCTCGGAGCCAGCGCCCCACGAGGGATTTTTTTTTTCCAACTGCTCTGACATTACTCAGAATATTAATAAAAAATGACCGCCCTTCCTCGGGGCCAGGCCCATCCTGAACCCTTGACCATGTTGACATATTTGGGTATCATTGTCCCCGCAGGGCTGCTGAGGGTTGGCTCTGGAGCAAGACTTCCTGGCTCCGGTTCAAGCCTTGTTGTTTCTCAGCTGGGAGACCCCGTGCCTCAGTTTCCCCGGGTGGGCTGGGGCTGACAACAGCCGGTCCCCACAGGCGTCTTCCAGTGGCATGTCCTGACAAGAGCGTCTAGCACACAGTAGGTGCTGTTTCAATTTTCTTGACTCCTCACAGCCGGCCTGTGACGGAGGAAGAAACAGGCACCGAGGTGTTAGGTGATTTGCTCGAGGTCGCAGGGCTGCTGGACGGATGGCCAAGGCATCGCTCGCGCTGGCCACTGTCCCCAGGGCTGCTTCCAGTTGTCATGATTTCAAGGAAGGCTGCCCCGAGAGGCCTCACAGGGACCTGAGCTGGGGGTGATCTGCTGAGTCCGACAGTGACCTGCTTGGTGCGGTCAGCTTCACCGTCACAACATCCGTGTCCCCACGTCCTACAGACCTGAGGTCCTCTTTGACAGGCAGTCACGTGCCCCTCCACGCCCACTAGGAAGCAGGGCTGACCCTGGTTCTCTTATGGAGGCTAAGATCTCCCGCTGGCATGCCAGCACCAGGCTCCTCTCGGCCTGCCTGCCTGTGGGGGGGGGTCTGCACTGCTGTAGTTCATAGCCACCTCTCCTGCCTGCCCTTTGGACCATCTCAGGGAATGCAGGAGACACTGGCCTGTCCATTTTACATATGGGGAAGCCATGTCACACTGAGGTGACAGAGTCCCATTGAAGTCGGGCAAAGACTCCAAGTCACAGGTGTCCTCTGTGGGGTTCGGAGGAGCCTAGAGAAAGCAGCCGAACCCCGGGAGGAAGCCCCGTCCTGGTGGGCCTCCCCGGTGCGGGGGCCGTGAGCGAGCTCCGGCCTGTTCACACAGTGACGCGAGTCGGAGCTTCTGGACAGACGTCCTGCTGGCCGCCCAGCAGCCCCAGCTCCAAGCACCATTGGTCCTCCTGATCTTCAGGGATGTCCCATCCCCCCGTTTCCCAGGGAGGTGACAGAGGCAAGGAGAGGTTCCTGAGTGCCTGAGCCAAGCCCGCCCAGCTGGGAAAGTGCAGGGCTGGGGTTCAGCGCTCCAGCACGCCAGGCCCCAGGGTCCATCCCTCCCCACCACCCACTGCCCGCATGGGCCTCGCTTTAGCAGCCACCCGCCCACCCCTGCTTCCCCAGGCTTCTCCCCCTCAGGAGGTGGCTTGGTGGGTTTCAGGCCTGGGAAGGTTCAGGTGTTGCTTCCTCCCAGCCCTGGGGCCACTTTCTCCCTGCTGGCGATGACCTCCCTCTGTCCTCTGCCGACCCAGCAAGGGGAGGCCTGGGCCTGGAATGGAGGCCTGGGCTCCTGTGAGGGGCTGCTCCCCACCTGCCGCCTGGTGGGGTGACTGTCTCCTCGGCTCCACAGTGGTCGGGCTGGACATCCAGGACGAGATGGGCCGGCACGAGGTGGGCCACATCGACAACTCCATGAAGATCCCGCTCAACAACGGGGTGGGCTGCCGCTTCGAGGGGCAGTTCAGCATCAACAAGGTAGGAGACGCCGGCCCCTGCCTGCTCCCTGCCCTCGCCCCCTCCCCCTGGAAACCATCTGGGAGCTGTGTGCCCCCAAAGCTGGACCCCGACAGAGCCCCAGGTGAGCTGGGAGTCGGGGCCCAGCGCCGGGTGGTTCCTGAGAACCTGGGGCAGTTCCAGGCTCCCGCGGCCCTGAGCCCTGCAGCCCTCTCAGGAGGGACCACTCCTTCCCCAGAACCGGCAGCCTGGGGCCCTGGGTTCTGGTCCCAGCTCTGGTTCTCCTCATGCCCCGCAATGCCCCAGAGGCCACTTGGCCCAGCTCCTTCAGGTTGAGGACATAGGGTAACAATGACACAGGGTTGTGTCGTGGGTGTGTGTGTGTGTGTGTGTGTGTCCCCGCTTCCAAAGTTCTGTGGCAGTTAGCTGAGCCCACACAGGCTCCTCATTCCACACATGTATCCGGCACCTTCTGTGCTCGGGCTGGTCACGGGCCAGGCAGTGAATGGTGCCTGCGTCCCTGAGCTGGGAGTGTCAGCTGGGCCCAGGGAGGAGTGGATGGGGTGAGTTTGAAAGTCCCTGTTGTTTTGTCCTTAGAAACAGGGACCCAGTCCCACCTGGGAGGATTGGGGGGGGGGGCTTGGAGCCAGCAGGGGGTGGTAGGCACGGGCCTTCTCTGCCCAGCTTGGCATTTCACCCTGAGCCTTGCAGCCGTTTACAGGATGCCTAGACCCAGGTCCCACAGCTGCCCCATGTCCGACAGCCACCTTCCTAGGGCCACTCAGCCAGCCACTGGTGGCTCCTGGCTTCTGCTTGCCTCTCGCGGTCTCTGCTTAGAATGCCCTTCCTGTGACCCCTGATCACCTGAGAGCCGGTTGCTAACTCACTGGCCACATCTAGCCGGAAAAACAAGCTGTGTTTTTCCTGTTCCACATTTAAATGCATCAGAGCTAATACCAACAGATCCAAAGTGTCCATATTTCTGACTTAAAAGTTAGATACTCTAGGGCTGGGATGTGGCTCAGTAGTTAAGTGCCCCTGCGTTCAAAACCCAGTACCAAAAAAAAGTTAGACCCTCTAGCCAGTACAGTGGCCACCTGTAATCCCAGTGACTCAGGAGGCTGAGGAAGGAGGATCAAAAGTTTGAGGCCCATCTCAGCAACTTAGCAAGACCCTGTCTCAAAAACTAGAAAGCTCTGGAGGTGTAGCTCAGGGGTAGAGTGCCCTTCCACCTTCTGCCTCCTCTGGGCCTTCTTGAAGCTTGCTGTGGGGACATTGTCACTTCTGATGGGTTTTACAGTGCTGCAGCCCAGGAGCAGGGTGGGAGAGGACAACAGGGGTGGGATCCTAGGAGGCCTGGTGCACTGGGGCTTCTGTGCAGATCAGCTGCTTCCTGGGGTCCGCCTGTGCTCATGATCTGGGCTGTCTGGTGGTCCTCGTGTTCAGGCAGAGGAGCCATGTAATTGCCCCACAGTGGCCCAAAGGCTACTGAAAACATAATTAGCTAAAATTCAACAAAGTATAAAATTCAGTCCCTCAGTCTCACTAGCCACAGGGGGCTGGTGGCCACTGTGTCAGCGCAGGTGCAGGACGTTTCCACCCTTACAGGAAGGGTCAACCTGGTGGCCCTGTGGGGGCTGGCCTAGGGACCTGGAGYGGGGCTCAGGGACAGTGGCTGTGTCAGTGGATTGGGGTGGCGCGGCCGGTTAGGGGTGTGGAGTGGACAGGATGTGACCGTGCATCGGGCGGCAGGTCTGGCGAGAACGAAGAAGCCTCTTAGGCATTTTCTTGCCGCTGCCRGGCGGTTCGATTCCCTGATGTGGGGCCCGTGATGCTGGGGGTCCACAGTTCAGTTACAGTGTCCTCTGGGGTGTCCATCCAGTGTCCCCTGGAGATGTTACATTGAGGTTAGAGTTGACCTGGGGATAACGTGGAGCCTCAATCCACACCTGGCGTCCTCTGACACAGGAGGACAGGGGACTCACTTGCAGGTACCCCAGGGACAGCAGGGTGACCTCAAGGGCCCATGATCTTGGACAGGGGTGGAGTACATGTTGTTTTTGCCAAGCTCTGACTCAGATGCAGCCCTTGTGTCTGCAGTGAGTGCAGGCAGGACACTAGCTGTCAGCAGGCCCGTGGCTGTCACTGATGTGAACTGACAGTGGTGCCACATCGGGGCGTCCCTACTTTGAAATGACAGCTGTCACATGCCCCTCCCCCCTCTTGTTATTTGATGCATTACTAAAGAAGTAATGTTTAGATGTTTTTAATATTTTAATTCTTGTTTAAATATATTGTTTTTCCTTTGTAATCCTGGAATTTTGTGCATTAAAAACATTTTAACTTTTAAAACAGGGTAGTCAGACTGGCAGAAGGGTCACCAAAACCGTTGAGAACACAGGTCTTGAAAGAAATGTACTTGAGGACCAATTTCTGGTGTACCCCATCATTGAGAATTGGGGAGACGGGCAGTGTAACAAAAGATATGAGATGGGTGCTCAGACAGGAGGCAGCAAGGGCTGGACAGTTTCTGGAATCTAGAAAACACATGGGCTAAGTCGGTTTTACCATAATGAAATACCTGAGGCCGGGCACTTCAGAAAGATAAGAGATCATCAATAGAGGAGCAGAAGATTTTTTTAATGTGGCATGTATGCATCATGGAGTTTTATTCAGCCATAAACAAGAATGAAATTATGTTATTTGCAGGAAAATAAATGAAACTGGAGAATATCATGTTAAAAAAAAAWTAAGCCAGACACTGACAGTGTCCCGTGTTTTCTCTCCTGTGGAATCTAGAGGGGACAAAAAAGGGATGTCAGGAAAGTGGAAGGAGGCCCTGAGGTTAAAGGAAGGGGTGGGGGAGGGGGAGGGAAAGGGGAGATGCGGGGAGTGAAGCTGAGCAAGTGGCCTATGTACTATGAGCATGTCACTAGGAGCCACCGCTGTGCGTGAGCAACATGCACCAGAGGAGAGCGAGTTTTCTTCCAAAAACAGAAAAAAAAGAAATGAGCTCTCGGGGCTGAGGCAGGAGTGTCACTGGAGCCCCGGAGTTCAAGGCCAGCGTGGTGACACAGTGAGATCCCCTGCTCAGAACAAGGAAAGAAGAAAGGTCTCTTCAGTTCTCAGATCTGAGCCTGGTGGGCATCTACTTAACTCTGGGGGGGCCTTTCGACCGATGGCGTCACCATGGTGGAGTCAAGGGACAGGAAGCCAGGAGCAATGGAGAGGGGCAGAAGCACGTTAATCCCCTCTGAGGGCAGTGCCCGTGACCTGGCCACTTCCCGCTGTGCCCACCTCTCAAGCCCCACCAGCCTCAGCACTACCACACGGGGGACCACACCAGGAACGYATCTACCTCCCAGACACCCAGCAGGTCACATGGCCCACGTGTGTCAGAGAGAGGGTGTGCCGCAGGGTGCAGGGGGACAGGTCAGGGGCCACTCACCTGTGCGCTGTGGATGGCCCAGGGAAGGCCACAAGGGCAGAGAATGGCCACTGTAGGAGCCTCATTCTTGGGAGGCGAGGGGTAGTGGGATCCAGGCCAAAGCTGGGGTGGCCTGGAGAGGGGGCGGCCAGGGGAGGCCACGGCAGGCTGGTAGGACAGGAGGTGGGCCCAGRCTGCCTGCTCCACCGCTGTACCATCTGGGGATCTGCTGCAGCCACGTCCCGTGAGGTGGGCCCCTGTGGACGCCGTCACTCCCCTCCCTGCCCGCCCCAGGGGCTCTCGCCGCTGCCCTGGGCACTAGCTCTCCCGTGCATCCAAGCTGCTGAGCCCTCTACCCCCTGCTCGGCCCTGGCTGCAGGCAGAGAGGAGCAGCCACAGTCTATTGCACAGATGGCCAGCGCTCAGGTGAGCACTCAGACAAGCAGATGCATACTTTAGGTGACAGACGTGGAGATAATGAAGGATGTGCTGAGCGGAGGGCACAGGATGAGGCTCCGAGTGGCTGGAGGGGCCTGTGCCAGCCCTGGAAGTTGAAGATGCTCACAGCCCCCCAGTCGCGGGGCCGCCCTGGGGAGCTGTGACCACCAGGGCTGGAACCTGTGCACTCCYCAGAGGGGACAGGAAGGGCCTGGGTTGATTCGGGTCTATGCGCCCAGTGCCCGGGAGACCACCAAGCGCCAAACCTTTCCATCTCCTGGCTCCCGTGCCCCAGCTGCCATCTGCTCCCTTGGACAAGCTCCGTTGGGGCCCCAGCTGCTCTGGCTGAACCAGAACTTGCCCTTTTGGGGTCAGGCAGACCCTTGTTCAGAAATCTGGGCTGGGGTGCCCACTGGTTGGAGACGCGGCGTTCTGGTCTCTCTGAGCCTCAGCTTCCTTCGCTGGGGGTCAGCACCCACTTCCCAACTGTGAGAAAGGACCACACCCTGCAGGGCCTGGACAGTGAGCCACCCCACACTGGTCACCACCTGGCACAAGCAAGTTACTGTGAGCATAGATGGACACAGAGGGTGTCCAGCAGGCTGGGCCCGGTCTGAAAGGTCCCACCAGCCCTCATGCTGTGGCCACCCTCACTGGGCTCTTTCCAGCCCTTTCCACAGGAGTCTGGAGCAGATGAGCCGGGGGGGGGGATTAGTAGCCAGCTCAAGGACAATGTCCAGGACCTGGACACAGGCAGCCTGGCACCAGGACCCRGAGCCCACTGCCCACAGCTGCTGCCTCACAGCTGTGTCCTGTGGCCAGCGCATCTCCGTGCTCTGGGCCACCCTCCGCCCAGACCCTTGGAGAGCAGAGACCCTGCAGCCACCTCCTGCGCCCTCATCCCCTAGCCTCTGGCCAGACTATGTCACAGCCCCCTTTTCCACCCATCAGGAAGCACAGCTGTGCATGGGGACCACAGCCTCATGTGGGGTTCACATTCCTAGCCGCCCGCTGCCCCACCGCTGACGCAGGTGGCCCCCCCAGCAGCCCCAGGAGGGGAGGGGAGGGGAGGGGAGGGGAGGGGAGGGGGAGGCGCTGGCTCAGCCTGAGCTCTGGAAGCATCAGAGATGCTGACGCAGGTGCCACAGTCACCAACGTCCTCTCCTCTGCAGCCCGGCGGGCGCTGGCATGAGTCAGCACCTGTGATGGCTGTGTGCAGCAGGGGCCCATCCCTGAGTCAGCCTCCGAGGCCACCGCGGGCGGCAGATGCCTGGAGCCAGCCTCCCCCACCTGCTTAGCCTTGGGAGCCTTGAGTCTGAGCTGTGCCCGTGGCCCGTCCACAGGAGGCCCCRTCCACAGGAGGCCCGTGCTGGTGGGGGGCCAGCTCCAGGAGTGGCTGGGGGCTTCCTTACCTCCAGGAGGGCCAGCCACAGGGCTGGGAGCTCTGGGCCTGTGGGTGGAGGTTCTCGTCCTGGTCAGCTGGGTTTTGTGGCCCTCGTGCTTGCTGGGCAGGTGCTGTCCCCCTCGGGCTCTCCCCAGCCCCGTGCAGGTTCTGAGAATGTTCCCTATGTCAGTGAAGCCAAGTCAGCAGAGCCTCAAGTCTGACCCTTCGAGCCTGGTGCCTTCACCCCCCCCTCTTCGAGGGCCCTTCTCCCCGGTCCCCATGTCAGGTGTCTTCATCCCCAAAGCCAAGCCACTGACTGCCACCTGCTCTGTGCCACCTCCCTCACTCCCTGTTTTCTGGTGGGGACGGGGCGGCCACCACCTTGCTTGAGGCCCCAGGAAGCGGGGCTGGTCTAGAGCCCAGGTGTGGAGCTCAGCTGCTGCTGCCCTTGGCTTTCTGGGCCCCGAGCAGGGCCAAGCTGTTCCTCATGCCCCAGGCGGGCCCCATGGGCTGCCCCGTCCACTGCAGTCCACGGCCCGCCTGGCCCAGCCTGAAGCTCAGGCTCCGCAGGGTGCGCCTGGAGCAGACGTGCTCTAGGTCAGCACCGAGATGACCCCGGCCTTCTCACTGTGACACCCGAGGTCCTTGACACGTGACCGCCTCCCCCTCGGGCCTGCTGCTGTCACCCCTGCTTTTCGGGGCTCAGCTACTCCAGCTCCCCTAGTTCCCTACGCTGTGCTGTCACCGAGGGCCACTGAGAGGGGTGCACCCCATGGGAGCCAGAGGAAGGGGCACGTCCAGGGACATGAGTCAGACATGGGAACTCGACGTGGGGACTTAGTGGGTGTCTTCACTGCTGTGAGCCTCAGTTCCCTTTTCTATATGAAGAGAGTGACCAGGTGCCAGGCCAAGGATCRGAGGTCATTCCTTCATTCAGTAAGGGAAGCACCTGTCCAGGTCGGGTCTGAGAGAGCAGGGGACGAAGCAGACAGGTCCCTGCTGGTATGGACTTACCATGCAGCAGGAGGAGGTGGGGACAAGATAAGACTGAAGACAAGTGCTCTAGCAGTTAAGGGTTGTGGTGCTCTCGTGGACAGGGGAACAAGGAAGGCCTAAGAGGTGACACCTGAGCATAGACCCAAAGGAGGTGGGACGGCCATGGGTGAAGAGGATTCCAGGAAGAAGTGGTAGCCACAAAGGCCCTGAGGTGGGACATGCTGGGCAATGTCCCAGGYAGAGCAGGGAGGCTAGCGTGGCAGACATGTGTGAGCACAGGTGACAGTGGCAGAGAGGACAGGGCAGAGTGCTTGCCAGTAGCCATAACCCAGCACGTGAGGATGTGAACACAACTATGTACTAGTTTTTCAATGCTATAATGAAATACCTGAGGCTAGGATGGATATAAAAAAAAGAGGTTTATTTGGTTCAGTTCTGGAAGCTGAAAGCCCAGGGTTGGGCAGCCCCATCCATTTGGCCAGTGGCATCACAGTGCATGCAAGAGAGACCATGTGGTGACACAGGAAGCCAAAGTGAGCCGAGAGTCTGGCTCTGCTATTTTTATAGCCCACTTTCAAGAACTAACCAGGGTCCCAGGAGAACTACAGCAGTCCCTTAGTGTCCCCTCTGACCTGTGGCCCTCCMCTCAGGCCCTGCTCTCAAAGGCCCCACCTCCCACGTCGTCTAGTGAGGACCAAGCCTCCAACGCAAGCCCTGGGAGATGAGCCACATCCACACCACAGACAGAGAGCCAGCCGGGGAGGGTCTGGGGAGGAGCTGAGAGACCAACTTGGTCAGTGAAGGGCCTAGAACAGGTGGGGACAAGGCAGGCGCTGGGTGCCCAGGGCGAGGCTGCCGTTGCTGTCTGTCCGGAGCCTGGCCCAGGGCCTCCGCGATGGCTGGAGAGGGGCAGGCACTGGTGTGCGGGAAGGTGGTGGACAGGGCTCCTGACGGCCGGGATGTTGGGTGTGACCCCAGGGCCTTGTCTGCATTGCTGGGAGGGGAAGATGAGCCTTGTGCAGGAGCAAGGAGGTCTTAGGGAGCCATCACGGTCCGTAGCTTGACTGTGGCTGTCAGCGCTGGGCCCACAGGTTCTTGTCTCAAGCCTCAAGACCCAGGGAAGGAATGAGGCTGCCACAGTCTGTCCTCAGGGCTCCCCTGTCCAGGGCGGTGGGCATCCTTGGGTAGGAGGTCTTAGTTAGAGTTCAAGGAAGACCCTTGTCCTGCAGCCCAGAGGCCRTGGAGGGTGCTGGGGACCAGCCACTGTCTCAAGTCCTGCTTCGTGCCAGTTGCCTCGGGGCGGGGGGGAGGGAGCACACACATCTTCCCTCAGGGTTATCCCAGCTCCCTCCTCAGGTAGGTACTGTAAGCCCCCCTTCTACAAGAGGGGAGTCCGAGGCTCAGAGAGGTGAAGTGGCTCCTTCAAAGTCATACAGCTGGAAATGATATGAGCCAGGATCCAAACCCAGGTCTGACTCCAGGTCTGACTGCCTGTGCTGCACCTGGATCCCACAGCCCCTGAATCCCACCCTCAACAGCCACACTCCTGAAAMTTGCCTTTCTTTCCCAGGTACCTGGCAACTTCCACGTGTCCACACACAGTGCCACGGCCCAGCCACAGAACCCAGACATGACGCACATCATCCACAAGCTCTCCTTTGGGGATACACTACAGGTGAKCAGGGCACACTCGGGATGGCAAGGCCAGGAGTGAGGGTACAGTARCTGTGTCACCTGGTCCCCTCTGTCCTCCTTGGGCACAGGTAAATGCCTTCTGGGGGGACCGCCCATCTGAAGCTCTGCCTCTCTGCCCTGCTCCTCCTCCTCATTTCCGGGGGGCCTGCCTGCAGTGTCAAGAGCAGCACCCCGACACGTGCCTGTGCCAGGACCGAGGGACAGCGGCCCACACTGTGTCCTTAGTGGGGACAGCGGCRGCCCACGTTCTGTCCTTAGTGGGGAATTCTGACTTAATGAGAAATTCTTTAACACGCCCCCAGCTTAGCGCCGTCMACCCATTGTTGCCATCTGTCTGTCCAAGAACTGCCCACTGAGCACCTACTAGCTGCTGGCGTGGCTCACACCAGGAGGCCAAGCCTGGCCCCTGCCCAGGTGGAGCCATTGGGATGACACACGTTCACCAGGTCACTGTGCATGTGAGCGTGAGATGAGCCACAGACGCCGTGTGGAGGGAACGTCCGGCACCCACCTCCACAGGGAACGTCCGGCACCCACCTCCACCCACATCCACCTGGGTCAGAAACCAGGCTTGGACCCCAGCCCCAGAACAGCGCAGGGACAGGCTTCCTCCTCCCTCGCAGACTCCCCTTCCTGCCTGATGAAAGCCTGTGGCTCTGATGGGCTGCTCAGTGACCACGGCCAGAGGGCCTGGGAGGATCGGGACGATCTTGGGTCAACCACCCACTGCCTGCTTGGCTGCAGCCTGCCYTATGGGGCCTTGCTCCTGAGGCCGCCCCCTGCCCTCCTTCCCCTGGGGCCACCAGGGTTCTGTAGGCTCCTCAGGTTCCGGCTCCGTTGGCTGGCCTGACTCWTCCCCAGTCTTGGTGTCCCTTCCTCCGCGAAGCCTTCCAGGGTGTCTGGCTGTGTGTCCCCTCTTAGGGGCCCCTGGTGGCTTAGCTATTCCCCACCGAGCCCTAACAAGAGGTGGCCGTGGCCGTAGCCCACTCTGCAACTGCCCCTGCCTGGTGGGTGCCTGCCCAGGTGCCCAGGAAGAGTCTCTGCACAAGTCTGTCTGTCCCTGCAGTGGACAGTGGGAGGCCCCAGCTCTGAGCACCCCATCTAGCCTCCTATCTGGCCTTCTAGAGGGTGGCAGGGCCTCAGGAGGAGTGCAGGGTCCAGAGTCACCCGAGCTGGTGTGTCCCTGTTGGAAGAGCTCAGCTGGACGCCGGCAGCCCTGGTCCAGCCTGCTCAGCTGCTCAGCAATGTTCTGATGCCGGACAAGCCTGGGTGCCTCTYGGGCCTGGGGGTGCTCTTCTGTGAAACAGGCCAGTGATACATTGTGAGGGCTGTAAATGAGCAACACGGGGGGGGCCCAATAGCGCACCTACTAGGTGCTCTCAGGGGAAGGCCGCTGCCTCCCCACACCCAGCCCTTGCTATCTCCTACTCCCCACAACCCTGCTGGACCCCTCAACCACGAGTGAGCACCCCAGACCAGGCTCTCGTGGCCAGTGCCCCACGGCCAGGGCCTGTCCCCATGGCTCACTGTGCTTCTCCACAGGTCCAGAATGTCCACGGAGCTTTCAATGCCCTTGGGGGAGCCGACAGACTCAACTCCAACCGTGAGTGTCCTACGGCCCTCGGCCCTGGGAGCCCCCCACTGCAGGTGGAAGGGGTGGACAGAGGGGACCGAAGGCGGACAGAGGGACTGGGGGAGGGCAGAAGGGACCAAAGGAGGTCAGAGGGGATGGGGAAGGGCAGAGGGGGCAGAAGGAGGGCAGAGGGGATAGAGGGAGGGTGGAGGGACGAGGGAGGCAAGGAGGATTGTCACCGCTGCTGCATGCTGTTCTGAGTGGAGACAGTGGCCTGAGGGTGATGGCCAGGCCCAAACCCACTCTTGCTCCAGGAGGCCACTGCGAGAACATCTCTGGAGGTGGCCCAGGTGGCCACCCCTGACTGCACCTCCCCACCCACAGTGGCTCCTCCCCTCTTCTTCCTTGAAAGAGGACAGCCATCTGCACACACTAGACCACACACAGGTGCTGCACACCTCATGCGCACGCACACTCACACACAGGGGCCCAGCAGGCCTGTCTGCTCAAGCCACCCCCCATGCTGGACAGGTCACCTGCCTCATCCCCTCACCCGAGCTCTCTGATTCCTCCCACAGCCAAGGATGCGGTGAAAGGAGACACCCTCCACTCTCTGCCAACCAGTCAGTCAAACCCCCATCTCCCTGTGACCCTGTAAAGTCTACCTCCTTGAGCAGAAGTCGTTTTTAGTTTTTTGGGGTGCACAGAGCATGAGCTGCTGACTCTTTGGCGTTATTATGCCTAGATGGGAAGGGAGGCGCCCACCCGGGCTCTCCCCCGCACTGCCTAGCCCTCAGCGGGCCACCTGTTCTGCCGATGGTCTGGCCTTGCTATTGGCAGGTGCTGTCCCTCTGGGGTGGCCGTTCCTGCTGCCCGCAGGAGGGACAAACAGTACTTCCTCACGGGCAGGTGCAACCTTCTGGCCAGAGTGCAGGGTCTGGRCAGAGGCCTGATCTGTGTGGAGGGGTCATTGTCATCCTGTGTGAGGGCAGCGTGCACTTCAGGCGCATGTGGGGCAGCGAGGATGCGCTGGCTGTCTGTGCTGGGAAGGCCCGAGTGGCAGAGCAGATAGCACTGTGGCCAGATTCCGGCTCCATGCTGAGATAAGTCCTCTCYAGGCCTCAGCCAGCCAGCCAGCGGGAGGACTGGCCTCCGTTTCCCAGGTCAGGCCACCTCCTGGGCCTCTGTCCTCTGTCCCCTACGCCCAGGCCTGCCCAGGCCTCTGCAGAGCMGTTCTCTATGCAGCTTGGAGCCAGAATGGCATCTGGCTCCCACCTGTCAATCAGGTCTTAGCGCAGACGCTACCAGTTCAGAGTCCCTCCCGGCCAGCAGTCCCCACTCATAGGAACGAGCCCATTTCCCCCCTGCACGTGCCAGCCTGGGAAATGACCTGTCCCTTCAGACATTTGTTGCTCTTGGTTGCGGCTCCAGCAAAAACATAAGCCCATGAACTGGGGACCCTGCCTTGCCCACTGTCTGTCTCCAGGACTCAGCCTGTGCCAGTACCACCAGGTGTGCAAGCCATGCTAAGGAGTGATGAGCTGTCACACCTGGACATCACTTATAGGAGCAGTTGCCAGTTGGCAGTATGGTGACAGGGGACCTTGGACTCCAGAGTCAGGCTCCACCACTCCACAGCACTGGGAACTTGGAAGTTGCTAACCCCTGAGCCTCAGTTTCTTCATCTGTAAGATGGGAGCATCCCTTCCACCTCTCGCAGGGCCTTGCCATGAGGATCAGCAAGGGGTTGTCAAGGGCTCAGTCTGTGAGTCGCACTGCAGGTGCGCAAGTGCCAGCCCTTCTCTTCTTTCCCCTTTGCGGTGCCAGTGGCCCACTTTGGGAACAGTTCCCATGCCACACCTAGGCTGTTCTTAGGCAGAATTGTGTCCTGTGTCGTGGCACTGAATGGTGTGCGACTCACACACGCAGGCTGCTGGTTTAACTGTGCGGGGTAGAGGTGCAGCGAGAGGAGAGCCCCTGCCTCGTGTGTGCAAGGCCTGGGCTCCAGCCCACAAAAAAGACAAAGAAAGCGCAGCTTTGAAGCCCATCCCACTGGTGAGGTGCAGAGGAAACCAGGGGGCCTTSTGTTGATGGTGTTGTAGGGGCGCAAGGGAACGCCTGTGGTCTCCAGGAACCCTCCGCCAAGCCCCGCGCGTGCCTGCCTCTAGTGGGCATCTGGGGAACTGCATCAAAGCTTGTGAGCCTCAGATTCTGCTAGAGAAGAGCACAGGAAAGAACCAGGACAGCTGGGAGAGACCTAGGGAGACGTGAAGACAGGAGCCAGTCAGCCCTGGCCGTGGGGCRGGGCGAGGACGTCCTGTGTGCCCATGTCCTGGGAGGCCCCATCAAGGCCTGGGCAGTCAGGCATGTTGAGCACCTATTGTGGCGAGGTGCTGGGGACATGCGGGTGAGGACACAGGCTCCCTGGGGCTTGGGTTCCTTGCCTTGGCCTTGAAAAGATGTCCCTGAAACTCACTCCTTGGAGAGTTAGAAGAAGACGGGCGGCCACATACAAACCCCCATCTGCAGTCACTACACGGGCACGTGAGCCAGTCCTGTGTGGAAGGTGGATGTGATGGTGACCGTGAGGTTTCCCTGTGACGGCCGAGTTTTGCATAAGTTCTAACAAAGATAGTACAGGTCTGATCTGGGTAAGGCATTCATTCCTTCCGAGTTTAATGCTGTGTCCAGGGTGGTCTTGGGCTCCTGGATTAAATGCTGAGACCCACCCGTGGCCCACCGACCTGGCTCTTCACAGGTGAGGTCTTTCGATCCCAGGGCATCCTCACACTCTGGGCTGAGAGCCATTGGACAGAGGGGCTTCCTGGRTCCAGCTCCAAGGCTGCAGGGCTTTCCCCAGGTTTTCTGAGGGGTTGGCCTGATTCTGTTCCTTCTGGAGACTCAGTAGGGGCCAGGARGAAGTGTGCCAGGCTGGACCACCAGTGAGTCTAAGACTAGGCCTGTACTGGCCTGGTGAGTCAKGGCTGGAACCCCAGGCCTAGGTCTCCGTGTTGTCTTAGCCCCATGGTCCCAGACCTGGATGCCTCTCCTAGCATCCCAGAAGGCCCGGGAGGATTCTTTCTGCCCTGGTAAGACTGGTGCCTCAGGGCCGCGGCTGGGTGCTRGACCCTGGTGACCTCATGCTTCTCAGTAGCTGATTCACCCGCTCTTCCATTCACGCTGGGCCAGCAGCTTCCATCCGTTCATTCATGCAGCAAGCATCTGCTGCCATCTGACCGTACCAGGCCCTACGCAGGGCTCTGGGGACCAGCAGATGAGTGAGGCCAGGTCCAGGCACCTCCCTGTCCGGCCTGTGGGGGAGGGGCCGGAGTTGTGTCAGCAGGGCAGGGCAGGGCTGAGGTGGCAGGATCCAGGGCCAGTCACTGACAAAGGGGAAAGGAATCGGCAGCTCGMTTCACTGGGCTTTTCTGGTTGGCAAGCTTTTTCTTTTGAAAACTAAAACTCTGTTTGTTTGCAAGTAAAGCTATGTGAGGGTCTCTCTCAAACCCTGCCTTCCTCCCCAGGGCCAGGCTGCTCAGGGCTTCCTGGGATCTTTCTAGATAATTCTTACAGGTGCCCACACACGTTAGAGAGAATGTCTCCTCCTGTCCCAGCTCACGGAACGTGCTGTGTACCCTCTTCTGTCCCTTGGTTCTTCTCACTGCATGACACCTCTGGGAGTCTACCCTCCTGGCACCCACTCTAGAGGCTGCCCTATTGATAGACATGAGGCAGTTCCCAGTTAATATTATGTAAAGTTCAGGAGAACATCCGGATGGGTGGACTCTTGGGTCCCTGGCATCCAGGGCGGTGCTTGGTGGTGACACTGGGGAAAGAGCCCCCTGCAGTGCCAGGGTGTCAGGACTAAAGGGATAGAAAGAGCTGTCAGCCAGGCAGTGCCCATCCCCTGCTTCATCCTGCCCGTGCTTCCCGCAGCCCTGGCCTCCCACGACTACATCCTGAAGATCGTGCCCACGGTTTACGAGGACAAGAACGGCAAGCAGCGGTACTCCTACCAGTACACGGTGGCCAACAAGGTGCGTGGGCGGCGGCGGCCAGCCGTGGTCGAGTGCGCCCTCTGCCGGCAGAAGGCGGAGGTGGCGGGCGGCTGTGCCCTGTGATTTCTGCTGATTTTCTTCCAGGCTCCTGGGGCGAGGGGACCCTCCCTCCAGGCTTGACTCTGGGTAAAGATGAAAAGACCCAATCCTTGCCTTCGTGGGGGGTCTCAGAGTCCAGGGGAGAAAATATAACCAGGAGAAAGGGTGTGAACTGTTTGAGGTTCCAGGATTGCTGATGCCTCAGGGTCCTGCCTCTGGTCCTGGTCCTGGTCCRTTGGGCTCAGAACCTGATTGATGAGCCGGTGATCCGTACTCCAGCCCTTGAGCGATAAGCGCTTTATCCAGACTTGGGAGGCTGATTAATCAGGCCAGGTTGGCTGTTGATTAATTGGCTGTGGAATAACGGGGATGGCCCAGGACCCCAGATCTCAGAGTCATGGAGAAGGAGCAGATCTTGGCAGGAAGCAGAGTGTGATGAGCGTGAGTGGAATGTGACAGCCCAACAGTTAGTGGCTTTGATCCCAGACRCCTCAGGCCCCTCCAGAGATGACCTGCCCACGGGCTGTACGTGCTGGAAGCTGGTTGGTTGAGATACCAGCCGGACAGGTGGGGGCTTCCCATTTACCACCAGGACTTGCCTTTTTCTGATCCGGGGCCACCAAACCCTTCAGGAGCCATGCATCATTTAGCTCAGCTGAAAACAACCAGAGCAGGGGTGCTGTCGTTTGCTGGGTGCTCACCACGGGCCAGGCCTGCAAAGCTCTCAGCCTGTGTCCTTCCTCAAGCATTCGGCAGCTCTGATACTGGGAGTGTGGACACCCCCTGTTTTACATACCTGGCCACCAAGGAATGGAGCGGTGGTCATAGAACTAGGTAGTGGCCGAGGCAGGATTAGAACCTGGTTCCCCTGGGCTCCAGGCTTGGCCTCTTGATTATGTCACCCACTGGGTCTGAAAAGGAGCGGTGGAGTCGGCCCACCGGAGAGCTGCTGTCTGTTGGTGACTGAGGGCCCCTCTGCCCTGACCCACTGTAGACGGGTATTCTGGTGGAACACGGCAGGACAGTGCTGTTTCTTTGGTTCACTGTGTCAAGGGGGGCATCTTAGTCCATCTGCTGTTGCTATAACAAAGGACTTGAAACTGGCTGGTGAGGAGGAGACGTTGAGTTGGCTCACGGTTCTGCGGGCTGGGAAGTTGAGGAGCACAGCGCTGACATCTGCTTGGCGTTTGGTGAGGGCCTTCTTGCTGCGTCCTAGCCTGGCGGAGGGCATCACCTGGAGAGACAGAGCAAGCAGACTCCCTTGGTCTCTCTTCTCATAAAGCCACTGATGCCATTTGGGGCCCCACCCTTGTGACCTCCTCTAAACCTCCCAGTGATCCCACCTCCAAACACCAACAACATATGACCTAGAGGGACACATTCAATAGTAGCATCACCCTCAAGTTCTGACATCAACTTAGCAACGCAGGACATGGTTATGGTCTCAGCAGGAAGAACAGGGGTGCTGCACCACACCCAGTTCACGTCCCAGCTCAGTCATCACCAGCTGTGTGACCTGGGACCTGCCCTGTCAGCTTTCCGTGCCTCGGTTTACTCATTTGTCAGATGGTGACGTCACAGGACTGCTGTTCAATGAGGCGGTGTGCAAAAGTGCTCAGCCACGGAGAAGGCCTTGGGTCAGTGACGCCTACCGTGGCTATTTTTTGCTCCTTTCCTCTGTCCGCAGCTCTGGCTGTGACCCAGGCAGACACAACCCCATCAGCTCTCCCCCGAGGAAGCTGCTGTGTCTTGCTCCAGGCTCCTGTCCCCAGGCCTGGCCAGTGCCCAGGGCCAGAACAGCTTGCTCAGCGTGCCGTGTGGCTTTGGCCCCAGACTGCCCTCAGCAGGAAGTCTGGCCCTCTCCCTGTAATCCCTGTGAGCAATGCGAGATGGGGGTTGGAGGTCCCCCAGTTTAGGTCTCCGTTTGCTGTAGATAGTGGGAATAGCCCAGAGGCGTCCAGCACCCCAAGTGCCCAAACTGGAGATTCTACAGTCGTCATCCCAGGCCCTTGAGAGTTGAGATGGGGAAACCAAGGTCCCAAGGGAAGGAGGAGCTGGCCCAAAGCCACTCTGTAGGTTCAGCCCCTTAGCACCTCTCTGGTCGCAACGTGCACATCTCAGGAACCCTGAGGCAGACAGGACCTCTGGCTGTCCAGGTCTACAGTATCGGGGACGGCGGGGTCTGCCTCATCCCGCAGGCTGCAGACTGAGACTCACTCTGGAAAGGGGCTTCCTCCCCTCAGGGACCCAGCACCTACGTGTCTGGGCTGCCTAGCCCACCATTGTTGAATTAATGCAAGGTTCTGCCTGGCTCAGAAGTTCTAGGGGGAAATAGCCTCTACTCAGCCTGAGCCCCCCCAAAAATCTCTTTCTTTTCCATCTCTGCTTTCAAATTCATATTTCAGTTCCTGTGCTGCTTCCCGGTCATGTGGTCCATTTCCCACAGCTTAAGAGTCAAAAATGTCCCCCAAGGCTGCCATCTGGGTGCAATGCCAATGGCAGAGTCCAGGGCCTGGAGAGGGGGCCGGGGAGTCTGCTCCACGGGGAACAGGAGAGGCCCTTCCCCAGGGCTCGGGGACCCTCTGCAGTGGACRCCCACCCACTGGCAGGCAGCCCACCAGGCGGGTTTGTGCTTCTGATTCTCACAGCGGTCCCCTCCCCACTGCAGGAGTATGTCGCCTACAGCCACACAGGCCGCATCATCCCCGCCATCTGGTTCCGCTATGACCTCAGCCCCATCACGGTCAAGTACACCGAGAGGCGGCAGCCGCTGTACAGGTTCATCACCACGGTGAGTAGCCGGGCGCCGGGCTGCCCTGCCAGGGGCGCCTGCCTAGGAGCGGGGCTTGGCCCCCAGGACAGGGAGGACGTTGAGCGCGTCCACAGCAATGGCCCTCCACTCGAGCAGGAGGACACCTCCCAAAGACCTCCATCCAGCTCCAAGAGGGGCTGCTGGTTCCAAGGGGTTTCTTGGTTTATTTTTTATTTCTACATTTATTTTTGTGGAAATTATTCTTAGCAGGGTTCATCTTTTATTTAGAGTCAGGGTGTCCCTGAGGTGCTGGGTTGCTGAGGCTGGCTGTGAACTGGCAATCCTCCTGCCTCTGCCTCCCCGGCTGTTAGGATCACAGGCGTGGCCACTGCACCTGGCTTCTGTGTAGATTTCACAGTGAAAACCTGGGCTCATTTTTTCCGTGCCTTATTTCTGGGTATAGCTGCTCTCGGGTCTAGGTTTCCCTCCCTCCTCCCTCCTCCCCCTGCCATCGTCTCTGCCTTGCCTAGTCCCCCTGGGGCAGCTTGGAGCTGACGTCTGTTTTCTTACATGCTTAGTACTTCTAGAAGGTACACAGTTTCTGGTCTCCCATTCAAAAGGTCCTTGAGGATAGAACGTGAGGTCACAGTGTCCCACTTCAGCCAGAGGCTCAGGTGTTGGGGAAGCTGGAGTCACAGAGGTGGAAGAGGTGGGCTGATTATCCCTACCTCACAGATTTGGAAACTGAGGCCTATAGGTAAATACAGCATTGGAAGGCCCTATCAGTACCTCTTCACGCGTATTTGTGTGTGTGTGTGTGAAAAATATTTTTTTTCAAGAGTCAGACTCACTGTGTTCCCTAGGCTGGTCCTAAACTCTTGGGCTCCAATGATCCTCCTGTCTCAGCCTCCTGAGCAGCTGGGACTGTAGGCACATAGGACTGTATCTGGCTTCAGACTTTTAATAATGGTTCAAGATCAGAGTCTAGTCCCTGTGCTTTGGTTCCTGCTGTGACTAGGTCTATATTAGTCAGGGCTTTGACAGAACCTGTGGAGCTGGCTTCAGGGGTACTAGGCTGGATCCAGCTACAAACAACGTCAGGAATAGGTCTCTCTCCATCTTGTGATCTGCTTTTCTCCATATTGGCTTCAATCTCAAATAGAATAGGCCGGCAAAAAAATAAAATAAAATGCCTCTTCCCTGGTAATTCCACCCAACTCTCAGAAGAAGAGTGCTTTGGTTGACTCAGCTCGGGACCCCAGTGTCCTTAGAGCTTGGAAAATGGAGTCCCCTGGTTGGCCATTCCTAGGTCTTGCCCCACCCTAGAGCCAATGCCATTCAAACCACAAGGACAAAGGTTGTACCTTTTTCTTTATACATGTACTTTTTTTTTTTTTGCATTACAATTCTTATTACACATATATACCACAGTTTTTCACATCACTGGTTGTATATAAAGTATGTTGACACCCAATTCGATTCTTCATACATGTACTTTGTATAATGATGACCATCACATTCCACCATCCTTGCTAATCTCCTGCCCCCTCCCTTTCCCTCCCACCCCTCTGCCCTATCTAGAATTCATCCAATCCTCCCATGCTCCCCCTCCCTACCCCACTATGAGTCAGCCTCCTTATATCACAGAAAACATTCAGCATTTGTTTTTTGGGATTGGCTAACTTCACTTAGCATTATCTTCTCCAACGCCATCCATTTACCTGCAAATGCCATGATTTTATTCTCTTTTATTGCTGAGTAATATTCCATTGTGTATAAATGCAACATTTTTTTATCCATTCATCCACTGACGGGCATCTAGGTTGACTCCACAGTTTAGCTATTGTGAATTGTGCTGCTATAAACATTGATGTGGCTGTGTCCCTATAGTATGCTGTTTTTAAGTCCTTTGGGTATAGACGTAGGAGAGGGATAGCTGGGTCAAATGGTGGTTCCAAGGAATCTCCATACTGCTTTCCATTATTGGCTGCACCAACTTGCAGTCCCACCAGCAATGTATGAGTGTGCCTTTTCCCCCATATCCTCGCCAACACTTATTGTTGTTTGTGTTCTTGATAGCTGCCATTCTGACTGGAGTGAGATGAAATCTTAGAGTGGTTTTGATTTGCATTTCTCTAATTGCTAGAGATGATGAGCATTTTTTCATATATTTGTTGATTGGTTGATTATCCTCTCCTGAGAAGTGTCTGTTCAGGTCCTTGGCCCATTTGTTGATTGGGTTATTTGGTTTTTTTGGTGCTTAGCTTTCTACACAGAAATGACTACACAGAAATGACAGACTTCCCTTCAACAAATGGCACCAGCCACAAAGCTGGGACTCCACGTGCAGATGGGGGAAAGACCGTTGCCACACGTGCAAGGAAGGAGTCGTCTTTAGAATCTCTATACAGAGAACTACGAATTAGTAGAACAAGTTACACAACCAGAGAGGAAAACGGGGGCGTAACTAGGCTGTGGAGTTCTCTAGAACTTGGAGAAATGAGATTCAAACCAGCAGACCCAGGTGGCCCCTGCACACAGGGGACATGAGAAACCTGCCTCTCATGAGAGATGGGAGTATGAAGTGGGGGCTCCTTGTGCCACTCGTACCCAGGTAACTTGTCACAGCCACCCTGGGGGGACACACACAAGCCCTCTGACCCCCATCAGGGGATCTGATAGCAAATGATTTCGCCCAAGGTCCCACAGGCTAGCCTACCCCAAGTGGGTCTGGGTGCTAATAGGTATTCTTATTCTGCTCCAACTGCATGCCCAGATTAGGCCAGATGCCAGGGTACACATGGGTGTCCCGGCAAGTCCATGCGGGAGTGACTTGTGGGGTTTGTAGCACTGACTGGCTGAGAAGCCTCCCATGCCCACCTCTCACCGTAGAGCTGAGGAGGCTTTTCGTGTCCCCAGCGCATTCCTCACACACCGAGAGCAGCTGAGGGGCTGAGAAGCGAAGCTACTTCACTTGTACATTCAACATGGCTGGATCTGCCACACGCAGGGCCCGTGCTGGGCAGGGACAGCTGAGTGGCCATGAGCCCTGCTGAGCCCCAGGTGCAGGAGGCAGCTCTGCCCAGTGACACAGGGCCCAGGGGAGGCGCCGATCCCACTGGAAGCCCCCGGCACTGGGCCTCAAGGGCAGGTGAGAGGGCCCTGGGAAGGGCCCTTGCGGGGACCATTCAGTCTCTTCCATGTGGACAAACCCCTCCCGGGTCAGGCGAGCCAGTGTCCTTCCCAGAGCTGGCGTTTCCCCACAGCCACCTGGGAAGATCTCCTCCCCCACCCAGAGACCAGACCTCTCCAGGACTCCTTGTCCCTCCTCCTCCCTGGGCCACCCCACACCTGCACCGTCCACTGGGCCAATGAAGCCTGGGCCTGGGGCCATGCTGCCCCAGGCACCCCCGTCAGTGTTCGTGGGCCTGGGGGTTTCTGGAGGCCCCAGGCTGCCATCTTGGTTGCCAGAGCAACCGTGGGGTCAGCCCCGATGAGCCAGCCGGCCAGTGTCCCTGGCAGATGGCGTCATTGTGGAGCTTCAAAGGCCCTTGTCACGGGGCAGCAGATGCTGGGATGACAGGAGGGCACACGTGCTCCCGGGAGCCCTCAAGGGTGGGTGGGGCAGGGAGGAAGGGGACACCTGCTCTCCTCCCCTTTCTCCCTTTTCAAAGCAAACACTTGCGTGCGAAGCCTTCAAGTCCAGGTGGGGGGCCTCTGCAAATAGCCCCTTGGAGGGGCTGTTGATGGAGGGGGCTTAGGCCTGGGTGTCGTCATGTGGCGGCTGCAGGCCTTCGGGAGCAGCTGTGGGTGGCTGGAATGAGGGGCAGGGCCCTGTACGTGCTCCCTGCCACCAAGGGCCTGCTGAGCCAGGCTGCCCCCAGGGCTCCTGCCTGCAGAGGACTTGCAGACCCCCCCCACCTGAACCCCCTGTTGAGCCCTCAGCCAGGCTGTCCCCAGCTCCCCGCCTGGACCCCACCAACCCCACYGCGCCTTGCTCAGGCCTACACTGTGTTCTACCAGAAAATCCTGCCACCAAAGGAATAAAGAGATAGTACTTGACGACACGCAAGGGGCTCCCTCCCCCACACACACACTTGTCCCCTGCCACCTGCTTTAGCCCCTTTTCTGAGATGGCTACAAGTGGCCCATGCTGACAGATTGGATGGCTTTGGACGTGTCAGATCTCTTTGCTTGTGTGGTTTGTTTTATTTTAGGGGGAACACCCAGAAGTCATAGCTGTGACAGTTGTGGCCCACCAAAAAGTGCCAGATGCCACTCACGTGCTCCTGTTGAATGGCCCGTGGCACCTGGTATCCTGCAGAGCCAGGGGACCAGGGGGGTTTGCTGGAGTACGCTCTGCCCACTAGCGTGCTCCCTGACACTTTCCTCACTGGGAAAAGAGCCCCCAAGATTTAGATTGCACTCCTTAGTCGCCAGGTCCGATAATGGCCTGCAGGCCTGATTTCCCTCTGTCCCCAGCGTCCAGCATGGGGCTGGCCTGGACACAGGTGCTCACAAATACACAASAGACAACTGCTTACAGAAGTGACCATCGAGTATCCTTATTAAATACCTACTGTATGTAGGTGGTTTCACAAGGATCCCCTTTGACCCCCCACCCCCAGATGATGCTGGCCATGTGTCGCACGATTTCAGCTGAAGCTCGGAGGATGCAGAGGCGCATCCAAGGTCGCCCTGAAAAGAAGCCGCTGTCCACCTGAGGCTGGGTGGCTTCAGTCTTTCAGGTCCCATTCCCTGTCTTTGCTTCTTTGGGTTTTTGTGTGCATTTGCCTGAAACAAGAGATAGCAGCTAAGGAGAGCCAGCAAGGAGGGGCGGCCTTCAGAACTAACCAGARACTGACTTAGAACTGAGAAGGAGGCCTAGGGAGCAGGCAGGGGAGGGCGGGTGCCCTAGCCATCGCCAGGCCCTGGGTCCATTCCCAGCCCATGCACATGCACGCGCGTGCGCACACGCACACACACGAAAAACAAGGTTTTAGTCACCAAGGTTGTGTGAGTTGACACTAGAGTAGGAG